GGAGAAAATACCTTATATACTCTCCTATTTGAAAGACGACTGAGGGTTAGAGGATCTAGTTGCCAAATCCTGGTGGGAGAAGAATCATCATTCACCAACTTTTTAGTTCGGGAGCTACTGTAGAGTAATTAGTTTATTTTGATGCTGGAGATATGAAAAATGAGCAATGCCCTCACCGGGACTCAAACCTGGACCTCTTGAAAGTGTGATGAGTGTGCTACCATTACACCATGAAGGCATGCAGAATGGAGGGAGAAAATACCTTATAATCATAATATTTAGGGTTTTATTTATTTGACTTTGGCAAAGCTCACTAGGGCTATCCACTCGAGGGAAGGGATAAAACACACTAGGGCTATCTGCTTGAGGGAAGGGATAAAACACACTAGGTCTATCTGCTTGAGGGAAGGGATGCCTTTGTACAGGATTTTCTAATAAAATATTTACATATTTAAATGTTTTTAATTCATCCATTTAAATATTGTTCATTTGTCTAAATTGCCAATACGAATGCAAATCATTCAGTTTTCCATTACATCAGTCTTTCCCAAAGTGGGCGATAATGCCCCCTTGTGGGCGTTTGAGACCTAGAGGGGGGCGTTAAGGGGCCCAGAAAAAAATGGGGGCCGTTGACGTGGATTAGGGGGCTGATGGTAGATTTGTAATTAGATTTACTTTATATTTTAAATTTCACTAGAATTAAAACCTACTTACTACACAATAACGAATCCTTAGTTTATATTTCTACCCTGTATGATGGTATAAAAACTTAAAATACTTAACATAGATTTCGTAGAATAGCCCGCACAAAGAATATGTATTGTTAAGAAGGAAAGCTTTGCAGCAGCAGGAGTGGCTCCCTCCGAACGAAAAGCGACACAACTGCACATGCGTGAAATATCTGTCGCCAAAAAGCGTCGAAGCTGATGTCAGAGTTCGAACAGGTTCGACGGTCACGTTTATTAAGAATTTAAAGCCGCGTGACTCCATTTTTTTCCCCTACATATTGACAGATATAAAATCAGACATCAGAATGCGATATGGATAATACAAGTTCAACTAGTAAAGCAAAAAAGCACGAAAATTCGAGTTTAAATTATTGCGAAAAGTCAAAGAACGATTCATCTTAACTCGTATTCCTCAATTTCCTGTACACGTGGCGAAGGTGGAAAATCTCGGCCAGGTACATCATAAAGGGGGAAATTCTAGCCAACAGGTTCCTTCGCCAAATCCCTTGGCGAATTGTCCCTCTTCTTTCTAGCAGCGTAGAAGACAAACTGGTTTATATTACGTCTATGAAGCCTTTCCTTCTTTATATAGACTTTTTTTGGCCCGCACGCCATATGCGCATACGTTGTAAAATGACGAAAAGCATACAGCTGTGTAAATGCATGAATCGCCAAATGTGGCAAACATTCCGGGGGAAAAGACTAACTGCGGGAGCAGGTGCACTTATGATGTTGTGCTCCGTAGATGTACTGTCCGTTTTCGTTTGGAGAAACCTTCAGCGCTTTTACGCATGTGTCAGGTCTGCTTCGAGTTCATCAAAATAGGGTTGAGACAAAAGAGAAATGTTTACTTAACATGCGTGCTTCCGAAAAACCGGTCTGAGGAAAAAGTCCATCTCAGCGTATCGCCCCTTTTCAGAATAGAATCGTCGACAGGTGGCGGTTTTGCAGTATAAAAAACGGACTGTACGTGGTAGCAATCGGCTGGTTCATCGATACTTGTCCTAACTTGCTCAGTACGATTGAGCGTCGAAAGAGATAAACGAGTTTGTGCGTGTTTGTCTTATTCCTGTCGGTGCTTGCTGTATTTAAATCCTATATAAAAGCTCGTAATTTTTCTTATATTTTCATTAGTGGTTTCGCGCGCTATCTTTAAACGAGTATTTAAGTTCAACACTTTATTTACATATTTTTGAAAAAAAAAAAAAAGCCATGTTGCAAGCAAAAAAAAAGAAACGGCAATACAGTGCAGAATATATTAAATATGGATTCATAGAAAATTCGACAAACCCATCTTTGCCTTTGTGCCTTCTTTGTTCAAAAACATTTTCAAACGAAGCGATGAAGCCTTCAAGACTTCAAGATCATTTAAATAAAATGCATCCAGATAAGAAGGACAAAATTTTTTAAATTTACAAATTAGCCTATTTTCAAGATCTGGAAAAGAAGCATAATGCTCAGCCAAGTGTATCGAAACTTTTTTCGATGGCTGCTAAGCAAGACGATGACGGACTTCGAGTTTCATACAATATCTCTCTGTTAATTGCTCAAACAGGTAAACCACACACCATCAGAGAAATGTTAATTTTGCCGGCGATAAAGAAAGTTATAACTACTGTGCTCCATAAAGCGGCAGCAGATATAATTCGAAAAATTCCTTTGAGCAATAATTCTGTGCAAAGATGAATTGATGAAATGGCTGAAAACATTGAAGAGTCATTGTGCAATCATCTGAAGACTAGTCAATTTTCAATTCAGTTGGATGAGTTCACTTTACCAACTAATGAAGCATTGTTGTTGTCTTACGTGAGGTTCATTAAAGATGAAAAAATACGAGGGCCATCCAGGAAGTAGATTACGTTTCCGTCTGTGTCCGCTAGGGGCGGGGCTAGCGCGGCCATCTTGGGGTCAGAGCGTTGCGCAGCTCAGTCTGCATCTAGCCGTGCTAGTGAGAGGTTCGTGCTGTGCTCCGTTCAGATACTGTGACGGTTTGAAATGTCTGCGTTAATTGAAAATCCCGCGAGCTGCGAGGTGCGCTCAGTAATAAGGTTTCTGACTGCAAAAAACTGTAAACCGATAGAAATCTATCGGCAGCTTCGTGAAGTGTATGGGGACAACATTATCACTGAAGGTGGAGTGCGTCAGTGGGTCATAAGATTTCAAAATGGCCGAACCAATGTTCACGACGAAGATCGAAGTGGGAGACCCAGCATAGTGACCGCCGAACTTCTCGAAAAGTCGATGCTAAAGTCCGTGAAAATCGAAATTTCACAATAACGGAACTTTCTTTGAGTTTTTCCACAAATTTCGCGAAGTTTGTTGCACGAAATCATCAGCGAAAAGCTTGGTTACCACAAGTTTTGTGCAAGATGGAAGGCAAGAAGAGGTAACGAAGTGGTTGAAGGCGCAGGCGGCCGAATTTTTCGACGAAGGAATTTCCAAGCTCGTACATCGCTACGATAAATGCCTTAATTTGTATGGTGACTATGTAGAAAAGTAGTATTTGAGTGTGGCTTTCATCTGTATATAATAAAATTTGTTTCCTATACTTTGTTTATTTTTTTATTCCAAAACGTAATCTACTTTCTGGATAGCCCTCGTATGTCAAGAACTTTTATTTGCTATTTTATTGAATTTTTTTATAAAAACAAAATTCCTGATGTGATTGCTATACATTGCGTTATACATTGACAGCATTTAGTTGCTAGAAATTTAAGTGAACGACTATTTCAATCATTGCAACATGTCATCAGAGCAGTCAATAAAATCCGAACCAACTCTTTAAATGACAGATTATTTAATCAGCTTTGTGTTGCTAATGATGAAGATTTCAACAGATTGATCTTTCACACAGAAGTGCGTTGGCTATCAAAAGGAAATTGTCTGACTCGTTTTTACAATCTGTTTGACTCTGTCATAGAGTTCTTGGAAAACAAAGACACAGCATTGCGCGAAAACCTCATCACATCAAAGAATGATATCGCATACCTGACAGACCTTTATACATTGTTTAATGATATGAATCTCCAACTTCAAGGCGATGACTTGAACTTAATAAAAACAAAAAATATCGTCGCTGCTTTCGTAGCCAAGCTGCTCTTACACAAGAAGAATATCGGCAGACGTGAGTTCCATAATTTTCCCAATTTATCAGTATCCTGCAACAACGACGACTTGCTCGTCTACTGCCAACATTTGGAAAATCTTCACAGTGATTTCATTGAAAGATTCCAGGACATTTTGACAGACTGTTAGATCCTTTTTCAAAAGTCAACATAGCAATATCACCCAGCTGGAAGAAGAACTTATAGAACTGACAACGAACGAGGAAATAAAAAGCAAATTTAAAAATGGCTACCAACAAGTTTGGCTACAAAAGTCAATTCCGCAGTTGTACCCTGGATTGTGGTCGATCGTTCAACAATTTTTGATATCATTCCCATCGTCATATTTGTGTGAACATGGATTTAGCACTGTGACAACGCTGCTTACTAAAAAGAGAAATCATTTGCAAGTTACCAAACGCGGCGACTTACGACTGTTTTGAGTAAAATCGAACCTGATATCAACAAACTTGTTAAAAATCATCAAATTCATCCATCCCATTAGATTAGTTTAAAAACTAAAATTGATTACCTATCTATATTGTTTCTTTTAATTTGATTAAAATATATTATTAATATTATAAAGTTGCGTTTTAATTGCTCTCACTGGTAAAAATTTCTAGTTTAGAATGTAAGTTTAAACACCAGAACCGACTAATATAGCACACTATAACTAAATTAATTAAAGTAATGAAATTGTGGTTTTTAAGTTTTAGGAGTGTATAAAAAATGGGGGGCAATGAAAAATAATTGATTTTCAAAGGGGGCGGTAGAAGAAATAAGTTTGAGAAACACTGCATTACATCATATATCTTAAAAACAAATTTAACAACTTTTCCTTTTGACAGCCAATATGCGACTTTTTTTTGGGGGGGGGGCGACAAGAAAATCATTTTTTAGAAGGCACTAGTAATACTTTAGAACTCCTATTAAGAACAAATATCTCTCAGCACAAATAGGCATTTCATTCAGGAAAACAAGTATAAATTTCTGGAACAAAGCAACATATGTAAAATAGTTAACAAATAATGTTACATTAAAATACATCATTGGATTTTCATATTTGCAGAGTAATTAATAATAAGCCTTTAATCTGATCTCTACAAATTCTTACATCCGCACAAATTTCAGTATTATTATACATTCAGCATGTGAAATTATCTTTTACCTCTGATACTTTGTTTCACACCAGTCTGGTTCTCGGAGTTGATGCTCATCCCATGGATAGAAAATCAATTCCTGCTCACTGCAGGGGGGAAAAAAGAACCATGTTTGAAATTGTAAATGCCAGAGGTGATGAATCAAAATAACATTCTTCTAAACACACATGCACACAGATACACATAAAATAATAATAAAAAAAAAAAAGTCAGAAAATTAAAATAGAGCAAAATTCCATTATCGGATATCTTGCAGTTTCAGTTAATTCAAACAAAAACTAAAATTTTTCAAATATCTTGCATAAGAATAACAGTTAAAAAAAATTGGCACTTTTCAGCAAATTTAAAATATAGTTAGTCACTGTTAGTTTCAAATTAGATGATTTGAGATTTAGGCTAACTCAAACAAAAATCTGAAATCCTAAAATCATTTTAGTTAAGAGGAAATGGGAACAAAATTATTCATTTTAATTAACTGTCTTAGGATTTGATTCATTTTTATGTTCTTCCCTTCCCCCTTTTCTTCCACTATGAAACATGTACCACTAATAATATATTTTATTACTTATGATGGTACAACTTTTATACAAAGTGTCATTAAAGTGATATGGATGGTAACCACCTCAAGAACTGCACTATTATATTAAAATATATTGCACACAACTCTACGGAGGCTAATTTTTAACCCTTGCTTTCTTACACACTCATCATTTTATTGAGTTACTTGCCGACTCATGCCGAAAACAGGTGTAGGAATAAAAAAAAACTTTTACACAGAAGATTTAAATGAATGTTCAAACTAAAAGTAAAGCAGTGTTCCTTTTAGTATATATATTTTTTATTCTTCTTTATGTGGTACGACATTTAGAAACTTTGAGAACTGCTGACTTAACCATGTACTTGGATGATCGGCATTAAAGTGAATAAATTATCCTATTTTAAGCAATATGATCAGTAATTTGTAGTAAAATACTTTTTGGCATCATTTGAATTTTGATCACTCACTTTTATTGCAAGTTAACTCTGACACTCAAAGATCCAAAAATTGAGTGGGCTTCATCACATTGAACCATCAAATACAATGGCACTGCAAAGAATGAGTCAACGAGGTCAACACTATGGACAGATCACCTTTATTCTCCAAAATCAACCCCTTGTACTCATGGATTTAAAGTCTAGTGGGCTGCAACGCACTGCATCATTATCATCATACACCACATTACATAGCACTAAGTAAAATCTCAAGTCTGTTGCAAATAACGCATTAATTAGTTCTCAGCCATGGCTTAGAGGTTTAAAGGCTCATGAACCAAAGATTGAGTTCCATTATAATGCAACATCATAAACAATTTCTAGATCACTGCAAAAGATGATTCAATGAGGGTTAACACTCTGAATAGGCATCTTCATTCTCCAGCTCTGGAATTCATAAATCAGAACTAAATCATCTACCGTACTGCACCATCATGATATACAATTTATGACCATTATAAAGAATGCATCAATGGCATCAACACTTTGGACAAGCATTTTTTTTTTTTTTTTTTTTTTTTTTTTTTTATCTCCAGTTCCAGTATTCATGGATTAAAGGTTGAGTGGTCTTCCATATTTTGGCTGAGTACTCCAGTCAAGTTATAAACCCAAATAAATTTTTTTCTTCCAAGTTAGAGTACGCATCTTCTGTTAGTATGTTTCTAACAACAAATGTTTCCGGACCAGATACTACAGAAAAAATATTTAATATAATATGGAAAACAGACACTTACTTGAACAGTGGAAGCAAAGATTGGTATTCCAAAGGTGGAACAGTTTCTGGAAAATTGCTCAGAATGTTTAGTCTATGAGGCAGAGTCTCAGATCCATTGTAGGTGAAAAGTGTTGCTACTGCTTCCCAGTTGGAATTGCAAGCAAAATGGATTGCAGCTTCCAAACCACACTGGGATCGGAACTGTTTGAAAAAATTATGGTCAAATTGTTCATCGGCGAGCATGGACCCTCCAAGGATCATCTAAAAAGATATATAAGGACTTTGATAAAACTTTTATATTTTTAAATGCATAAAAAAGATGGCGGATTTAGCTTTCCAAGATTTTTAATGTGTTGTATATAATTGATTTATCTTATGTTTTCCGATATTGATTATTTTTATTTCAACACTAGATTTATAGCATATAACAGGGAAGGACAATATTATATATTACACAATATATAAAATATATTACATAGAGTTTGTGCCAAAACAGAAATTATGTCACGTGATTGGTACAGAAAACAAGTTCATGTAGAAGAGGTCTCTTATCTCACTTCATTGACATTTTAAACTGTGCATCTCCATCCAGTGGCTTTCTGTTGTGGCATGAGCACAGTCAAGTATAACAAGAATTTCCCAGAAAGTGGTATTTATTGATAATCTTCCTAAATGAATAAAAGTACTTTTTCTTTCTTTTTTTAATTTTCTTTCCTCACCCTTTCTTTAATCAATGTGGAAATTTTAGTTTTACAATAAAGTTATCTTCACTAGTTCTAATAGCAAATATTGATGAAGAAGGATAACATGCATGGCATCATATAGTAAAAAAATAATCAATGACATTCAATACTTATCTATGGGCATGAGTTTTAATATTACTGATTGCATCTACTGTTGAACTGAAAGATAGTGAACAGATAGTGGTGTAAATTAGCAGTGAAATTATTAAAACATTATGATGTTGCCGGTGCTTCTTTTGGTAATTGTGGATATTTGTAAAATATTTAAACTCCAAAATGCCTACTAAAAATGTAAAGTAGATTCAAAGTGCCATGCTTTTAAAGATGAATGGAACTGCAAATACCTTTTTTTCAGAATGTTCTTCTAACCAATCGCAAACAATTGTGGCCCGGTGACAAGGCGCATTGTCATCCATAAAAATCCCATCGTTGTTTAAGTACGTGAAGTCCACAAAAGGCTGTAAGTGATCTCCAAGTAGCTGAAGGTATCCATTTCCAGTCAATGATTGGTTGCACCAGAGGACCGAGTCCATGCCATGTAAAAACAGCCCAGACCATTATGGAACCACCACCAGCTTGAACAGTGCCTTGTTGACAACTTGGGTCCATGGCTTCGTGGGGTCTGTGCCACACTCGAACCCTACCATTAGTTCTTACCAACTGAAATCGTGACTCATCTGACCAAGATACGGTTTTCCATTCGTTTAGAGACCAACCGATATGCTCATGAGCCCACGAGAGTCCTGCAGGCGATGTCGTGCTGTCAGTAAAGGCACTCGAGTCGGTCTTCTGCTGGCATAGCCCAAGGAAGACAAATTTCGCCGCACTGTTCTATCGGACACATCCCTCGTACGTCCCACATTGATTTCTGCAGTTATTTGATGCAGTGTTGCTTGTCTGTGAACATTGACAACTCTACGCAGACGTCGCTGGAATTGTCCAGCAGTGTTGCTTTGTCTGTGAACATTGACAACTCCATGCAGACGTCGCTGGTCTCGGTCGTTAAGTGCAGGTGGTCGGCCATTGCGCTGTCCATGGTGGGATGTTATGCCTGAAATTAGATACTCTCGGTACACTCTTGACACTGTGGATCTTGGAATGTTGAATTCCCTAACGATATCCGAAATGGAATGACACTTGCGTCTAGCTCCAACTACCATTCTGCGTTCAAAGTCTGTTAATTCTCGTCGTGCGGCCATAATCACATCAAAGCCTCTTCACATGAATAACTTGAACACAAATGAAAGGCCTGCCAAAGCACTTCGCATTTATACATTTTCTACGCGATACTACTGCCATCTATATATTTGCATATTGCTATCCCATGACTTTTGTCACTTCAGTGTACAATCCAGATAAAAGTAAAAGCTTTCAATGACAGAGTTCATTAACTAATGCATACTCCAAATTTGTGATGTTGAAGCCTGGTATTGTAAACTTATCTCGAAAAGCAATCCCTTCTAGATTCAAAGCTATCAATAAAAATCAGATGTCATAACTAAAATTACAGACTGGCAACTTTAAATTCTGCTCCATAGCTATGGATGAAAGCACTGACAGACAAGTTAATGTGCTGCAGTTTCTCAGTGTGAGGTGTGCAAATGTAAAATTTCAGGATACCTACATGTGGAAAGTACAAAATTCTAACTTTAGAGACAAAGGTAGAAATTTAGAGAATGGCGAATGCAAAACCAAGTTAGCAGCTGACTATGGAATTTTAAAAAGTACCTTGTCAACTTATTTGAAATACAAGGAATCAGTTTTAGATTCATGAGAAAAATCTAAATTGGTGAAAGGAGGAAAACACATAAGAAATGCCTCACAAGAAGATCTAGAAAAAGCTCAACTGCTATGGTTCCAGGAGGCTAGATCCCCAATACAAAAGCATGGATGACACGAGACATCTTCAGTAAATGGTTAAAAGGAATAGATAAGCAGTTTTTGAGGGAAAAGCATAAAATTCTCCAATTTATGGATGATGCAACCTGCCACAATAACCACCCAGAATAGAGTTCCATACAAGTTGAATATTTGCTACGAAACTCATCTTGAATGGGTCAAGCAATCATTCAGAATGTTAAAATAAATCATTCTTTTCTTTAAACTGTGGTGATTACTCTGCAACAGCTACAAATGATCTATATGTCACATGGTATGCTGTTAAAGAAAGCACAATTAGTAACTGCTTTTTGTCATGCTAAATTCATGTATGTCGAAGAGATCAATCATATCGAAGAATGTGAAGAAGATGACACTGATACAGCTTTTGCTGAATTCAAAAAAATTAAATGTGATAACGCTACTTTACTTTTCTGATTAGGTAAGGGTAAATGAAGACTTGGAAGTCTGCGAAAAACTGAGTGATGATGACATAATAAAAACTATCCAAGAAGATGAGAAAGAAGAAAACTAATCAGATTCAGAAGAGAATGCACACAGTGTTAAGTGTCCTAATTACAAAACCATAATGGACTCTATAAAACTCTCAAAGCATTTATTTATTCAGACTGAACCTTCCTACTTCAAGCGAGGAAGTTGGCTGAAAAATGTAGGCATTATAAACAAAACCAAACATCCATTTTACAGTTTTTCCAGAAGTGTAATTCATATTTTTAACTAACTAAAGTTTAATTTCCACTGCATAGCTTCTCCATAATTTTATAATTAAGGCAAGTCTTTGTTGCTTTTTAACATGTTTAATTTTAGATAGCTTAGTATAATATATTTTCTGGGGTTATACCATACTAGGATATTTTTCTTCTTCAATGATACACTTTTAAAGTTGTATTTTCTGTTAGCATCAGATAATTTGAACTTTTTTCTGAGAACTTTTGCATTTGAATTAATAAGTATCCACTAAAAGAGGTTTTGATGAAAACTTTGAAATTACCAAGAAACTGGCATGCATGTAGTCATTAAAGGGAACTATAATGGCACATGATATTTTTTGTGAATTTCTCAAAAGGCTTTCAACTTAGAAAGTACCTGCAAGAAACATACATAATATTACAACCGATGCAGCACCCAATATGACAGGGGAAAATATGCATTTCTTGGAATATTTAATCAAAACTATCCCCAGAACAATGTTGTCTTTTTACACGGCATTATACATCAAGATGCCCTGTGTAAATCTGCACTGAATGTGAAACCTGTGCTTTCTGTGGACTTTGTGTTTTTCACAGATCTTCTTTGTCTCGTGAAAACTTGAATATCAAAATGCAAAGAAAAAATCTAATGATAATATCTGGGCCCATATCAGAGGCTTTCAGAGGTTTTAAACTAAAACCTGATCGGTTTCCCAGGCAGCTGGCTAAGAAAGACTTGCCTCTTTTCCCGAGATTAAATTCAATATCCTCAGTGAATGTAGACATGCTTGAGTTATGAAGATGGCCTGAGAAAACTGCATTTTGAATTTGAAAGCAGATTTCAGGATTTCAATGCCATTCAAACAGAACCAGATATTTTCACCATGCCTTTCAACAAAAATTGTGAAGCAGTGAGGGCAGATAACAATAATCTAAAGCAGTTGTTCACAGTATTCCAAAATTAGTTTTACAAATTGTTATCAAAAACAAGTTTCTAAATTTAATATCCCATGTCTAGAAAATTAGTGCTATGCCTGCTAATTTTTTTTTCTTTTTGTTTTCTGGCCTGCTCCCAAAGATGTTTGCCCATCACTAGTACATAATAATAGTAATAAATGATCTATATCAACATCCATGCCTTCATCAAGATTCAAACCCAAGCACTTTGGTACAGTAGTCAGTGTTTATAATCATTATATATCACTGGGTGATCTCACTTTTTTTAGACTTTAATTATAAAAGCATTATATATAAAATATTAAATATAAAAGCAGTATGAAAAGGGAAAGAAGAAGATAAATTTATTAAAAAATTCTAGTACAAAACAAATAATCAAATTACCTCATACATCATCAGCCTATCCAAATATGTTAGAAGCTTCAAACGACATTGGCAAAGCTGTTTCTGTTCCAGAGTGAGCCTTTAAATAAGAAAAATAAAGCATCAGACAAAAATACAAACTAAATTACTGCACAATGTAGTATGCAGTAAACTAGTTCAAGATATACAAGTGTTTTTTTTTTTTTTTTTTTTTAACTGATAATCAAAAATGGCACTTAGGTATTTCCTAATGTATCACTAACAGTTTATTACATACTTTTGGTAAGGAAATACAAGTTGGCATCAGTAGATCGATTAAATGATATATATTTTACAAAAATTCCTTGGAGGTGTTGTCTGGCAATTGCACCAAAAGAATCATTTAATTTTTGCAGTTTTTCTTTTTTTCCAGTGACTTTGCTCAAATCTATTCTCGGCTCTTATAATAATGCTTTGTCAGTAGCTGTTAACATTATATTTCTATCATACACAGTTCATTGCCTGAGAATATAATATATATGTGTATGTGATGTAGTAGTTTTTGTGGAAGATGAAAAAAAATGAACTTATTGATCATAGTCAAATTGGTAATAGATATGACACACATGCAGATAGTGTAATTGATGTCCCTAACTCTTAGAAGAAAAATAAAATTCCTGGTTAATCACAACATGTATTTATCTGTAGTACAAAATTTTTAAATCACTTCTTACATTTTTTAAACAATAGAGAAAAGGCATTTTTACTAACTGCAATTGTATTTGTAAGCCAGAAAGTCTTTGTTTTAATCTTCAGCAGTGATTGCATAAAGATTCTGCAGTGTAGAGAAACTGCAGGGAAAGAGAGACATAACATGCTGCGGAGTGACCGAAAATGGTTCAAAGTGTATCCTTGAAGCAGGGAGGTGTTTAATTAAAAACTATGAATTTAAATGCTTATTGTCAATTAGTTCCAATTAAGTTTAATTATTTTGTTTTACATTTTATATCTTATATATTTCCTGCCTTTAAGGAGAAAATGGCTTTTGAGAAGAAAGTTACTAAAGAAAGAAAAAGTGTTTATATTATTTACAATAATTACAACTGCAGTGAGAAATGCTTCAGGGACATACCATTGAGGTTTCCCTAAGCCCCATCTTTGTTTCATAAAATTTCCAATATTTGAATGCAGAAAAACACATGGAAATATAATTTAGAAATATAAAAACAAAGTATTATATAATTTGAAAATGGAACTTAATTTCAGCTTGATAGTCTCTAAGACAGATAAGATAAGTTTGTAAACATATGGAAATATTGTTGAAACATTTTCTCCGAATGTCTTGAATTTGAAATATCTACCATTCAGAGAGTTTAGAGTTCTTGAAAAGGAATCTGAAGAACATAACATGAATTTTACAGTCAACTGAAAGTTTCATAAAGCCATGTGTCAATATAAAATCAAAAGGTTACTAATATATAGCTATAATACAAAATAGTATAAAACAAATTCAGATTTTGTTGCTATAGAGCTATGTAATACTGGATGTACTGTAAAGAATTTCATGGCCATAAAAAGTACATACAAACCTTGATTTTTAAATACAATACTAAAAGTTAGTTACCTTGCATATGGAATGGAGAGTTTTAGGTCCAATTGTATTTAAGCATCCTACAGCCATCAGCCAAGTAGATATGCTGATTCACTTTACAAGAATCTACCCACTTCAATCAAAGTTTATTATAAAATTGTATTATATCATCTAGTTTTTGGTGTATTAATTATTACATTGCTCTACAATAAGAATATGCAATTTTGTTTTATAATGTGTAAATAAGTACTGATTTTAATAGAATTTCATGGCTATATAATTGAAATATTTTGATTTTATATTGATTATAACACAAATTTGCTGGTAAACATACCTAAAATAATTCTTACATTTTTCGACTTAACTGTTCTTTTAAAAGTATGTCCACTTCACTTGGAGTTATTTACAAATCACTGGCAAGTAATTGCTCTGAGTACTGTAGAGACATTACTTTTTTTTTTTTTTTTTTTTTTTTTTTTTTTGTAGCAGGAGAAATGAAAAATTTGCAATGCCTTCGCTGGGAATCAAAACTCGGACCTCTCAATTACATGCTGAGCATGCAGACCACCACACCACGAAGGCATGGGAAGAAGGCGGGAGAAATACTTTATATACTCCCCCTTTTAAAGGGCAACTGGGGTTTTTAGGGAACCCAATCGTCAAATCCTGGGTGAGGAGAATCATCATCCAACACCATTTTAGTTTGGGTGACACTGTAGAGTCATTAGGTTATTTTTTAAAGCAGGAGTGAATGAAAAATGAGCAAACGCCTTCGCCGGAAATTGAACCACGGACTTCTGGAATACCAGCCCAGCGTGCAGATTACTACACCACAAAGGCATGCGAAGAAGACAGGAGAAATACCTTATAGTACAATCAACTTACATATAAACAAAGATTTAAAATTGTTAAGGTAAACTTATTTAAATACAGCAAATACCATGAGAGTTAACTGCCTTGGAGGACATTCTGCAGAAAACTAGCTTGCATTTATTATGCACATAGGGTAAATCATGAAAACCAGCCAACATTGCAATGCTTACACATTTATTGTTTTATTGACCGGTGTCATACACCAGTACTGACATAATATATGTTGTTTATCATTAAATTATACTTTCATACTCATGTCTGTATCATTATTTTTTAAACAACGCATAAAAAACACATTCTATTTGGGCATTTAATTATCATAGTAGATGTATCCGTGAAAAATTAAATTAGCAACTTTTATGAGAAACACGTTTCTTCCAGTATCAGCTTGAACAGGATGTTTCTAGCTGTAACTTTTTGGAAACAGTTGCATTAAACAATCTGTTTCATGTATGTAGCCACACTATTTTACAGTGCTGGAGAAGAAATTGCACTAGTGCCACTGTTTCACATATGAGAGAAAGGAGAGGAACCAATCAGAAGAAAGTTCTGCTTTTGAATAATATACTTTTGAAAGGCTTTTCCTTTATACTTTTGGAAGAAAGGTGTTTCTCAGAAAAGTTTCTTATCAAGTTTTGCAGCAATAGGTCTGATAAAGATTTTAGGGCGCACTAGCAATTATTTATCACATCCTCATATATTGTCTTTTTATACTAAAGTGAAAATGCTTAAAATTTTTGTAACTACTTTGTTTCCCTGTACTTCTTATAGCATTCAAGAAGAGACCATTATTTTCTGAATTTTGCCAGTAGGAACACTGCAACTAATTTCATCTTATAAAGCATAATACTATTTTTCTAAAACTAGATATTACATTCAGAGCTGTAGCTGGCTTTGTTTACCAGTTATTCAGACAACTTTCTCATTCATCCTGCATATTTATGCTCAAAAGCTGTTTAATAGCTGAAAATTCTATGATTCTGTTTGCAAAAACTTGCGCATCTTGTGTTCTTCTAATTACACCACAAAGCATGTGGAAACGAGGTAGAAAATATCTCATATAAATAAATAAATAACTTATTTATATTAAGTAACACTATGAAAAACTCACTTTTTAAAATTAACCTGCTTCAAAAGCTCATCTCTTTTCTTATTCTGCAACTTTTTTTTCACTTCATACATATCATCTTCCATTAAATTAGGGGAGCCAAAAGAAGAAGAAACATCAAAACTAGCATCATGGTCATCTTCATCTTCATAAGGACAGCACAATATGAATCTAAAATATAAAATATTTTTTTAAAATGCGCAATTTGGAAACATTGTTTAAAGATGTGCAAGGAATCATACATTATCACATTGTTATTTTTTACTCATAATAATTTATATACACGATTTTCCTATTTCCGCTCTTCAGCTATTTTTGGTAAAAATATAATGCAGCTTAATACTGCTGCACAGTATGAGTTCAAACAGACCTTTAATAATTGTGGCAGATTAGCAGGAAGAAATTTAACACATTTTTTAAATAAATAACAGCTATAATACCTTAAGAAGGGGAGAACAGATATATTACAAATTTTCCTAAATGTGCAAAGAATATAAAAGATGACCACAATCATTTGTAAGGTCAATAGCAGTAATTACCAAGCAGGAGTTCAATATAACTGAATGACTTAGAATGAATAAATGAATTCATTTTCAATTGAAATGTAGCCCATGTACATAGAATTGCCTATACACTTTTAAAAGGCTAAAAAATTGCTCCTACATTTTCCAGAAACTTTCAGCCATATTGTTGACAAAAATTGTTGCTAAGGCCCATGCAAAAGATTTCTACCAGTATTTCTGGCTCTAAGTGAGGTATATTTATAAATCAAACATCAACCTATTCTAAATTGCAAGCTTTACTCCAAAATACATAAAAATGAAACACCTTTAAATACAGTAAGTGTCCATGAATTAGATTAAATAAAAATATACAACAAACTACTATATAAGAATACATTAAATAAATTAATGAACAAAACAACATGTAACACTACAACTTAATCAAATAAAAATGAATATTCACAATGCTTTTGGGAAGGACAGGAAAATATACACATTGTTATTTAAGAAATTACATAAAAAAAGCAAATGATTTTATATTTACATTAGTTTTATTCATGAAAAAAACAGAATTCATGTAATTATTTTCAACAAATTTTTCACTGCATATGAATGATAAAATTTCTTTATAAAAGATAAAATTTTAATGTATCGTCTCCCTCATCAAATTTAAAGTTTTTATAAGAACCAAATACATTTATAGCTATTTGTTACCAAAATAAGCCTTTTCTTAAAAAAAAAAAATTAAAATAAAGGTACTTCTACAGTGCTTAAGTTTACTTGGGAAGTGATGAACAATTCAGTGAAGTTTTACATTCACTTGCTGTTGATTGATCCAAATTGCGCATTTTAAAAAAATCCATATTGCAGTTTGATCACTGATTTAATTTACGTCTATTCGAGGGGGGGGGAATTATCTTTGACATTCATCACTTGCTCGACAGCTATTTCGCACATGCGCATAAGGCTGTATGGATGCCCTTCTTTGGTGTAGCAGAGCCACTGCTGCTTTGGCTTAATGTTACAAATTCTTTGATGAAGTAGAAAAAATCACTAACACATGTGTGGGCATAAACTGACTGGCTTCTAATCACACTGTCAAAAATAGAATTAAAAACAAAAAAGAATTTCAGGTGAGGGGGGGATTGGTGCTAGGGCAAAAAACTCGTATAAGAATTTTGTATTTTTTCTTATTGGTGAACCCTGTTATTTCAAAACCAAGTAAAAAAAGAGTTAACTGCACTTCAATGCAGGCACATTCAGGAATGCAGACGGGGCTGTTGGACAGATAAAACTGATTGACACCTTTGTTCTTTTAATATCTAGCTACATAAAAGGAAAAAGCGAGAGATAAGACTTATAACTTAATTCCTCTACATTAAGACTCAAGTATTATCTTGATACTCCCATATTTTCCATAGCACTTTCAATAAAAATATATTGTTATCAAATGTACTATTTATGTATTATTTTTAAAGAAATAAAATACAGTCAAAAGTCGTTAATTTGGACACCCATAATCCGTCCGAAGGGGAGGGGGAACGCCACAGCGCGCAATGAATTGGAAGTTGAACTGTCAGCAGTATCCTTATCTTCAGGGCAGATGTTTTCATTTTATTTGGCTTATAATTCCTTACTAAATGTAGTATTTCATCTTGATGTACTCCGTCTTTGATATGATTTAAATCATATTCCTCGTCATTATAATTCACTTCCGATAGTGAAGAAAGAGACTCAGAGGTTATTGAAAACGAAAAAAATTTCGATTGACAAATTAGTCGGTATTCTCGACACAGCAATTACAGGACTTGAACAGCGGAACTTTGTAACTGAACAAGAAATTTTGTCTGTTTATAGAATTAAAGAGAAAGTATTATCACATAAAACAAAGCAACTTAAACAACTTACATTGAAAGAAATGTTTTATAAAGCAAACAAATACATATTAAGTTTTTTTTTTTTTTTTTAATTTTGATACCCTTTAGATCAGGAGTAGGCAACACGGCGCTCCTGATCGATTTTTAACGCCCTGGACTAATGTAAATGTTGATAGCCAGAGCGATTTACTTACTCTTGTCAAACGGCGATATACAGCAAGTACTGTCTGACCACGTATTCCAGATCTATGTAAACATCCGGTTTGGGGCGGGAAGTGGGCACATCTATCAGTTATGTAGGGGTGAGTGCAGTAGCCCGGTAGACACTAAATGTTCCCTGACCTTCGATTTCACCCACACTCCTTCGACCTTTGAGAGGGAAAAATACCCGTGCTTTTCGCCCCCAAAACCTTCAATTAAACTGACCCATCTTGGCCCTCAGCCAAACTGTTCTCGCTAGCGTGGTTATACAGTAGTCAGTTGAGTTTAGGATTGTGCATAGATTAGCAGTTTGCTAACCTTGAGCGTATCTAATAACACGCACGTATTTTTTGTTAGTGTGTTATCGTATTTCGAATAGACCACGCGTAGAGACCGTGCATTTAAAACTACCAAGTAATCCGAAAATAATTCTTTTCTTTCAAAACCCTTCATGGATAAATGTAAAGAAAAAAGAACATATTATTTTAACGATGAATGGGAACATCTATATTGTTTCGTTGATTACAAAGGGAAGTGTATTTGTTTGTTGTGTAATAATAGTGTTGCGATTCCCAAGAAAAGTAATATTGAACGACATTTTAAGACCGTTCATACCAATTTTGATAGTGACTATCCAATGAACTCTGAAATTAGAAGAAAAAAAATTATTTCTTTAAAATCTTCAATAACTAACCAGCAAAGTTTTTTTACTAAACCACTGCAACAACATAAAGCAGCAACGATCGCGTCATATAAAATATCGCATTTGCTAGCTAAGAATAAAAAAACCATTTACAGATGGAGAATTAGTGAAAGAAGCCATGTTAGAAGCTGCTGATTCACTTTTTGAAGAATTTAAAAATAAAAAGGAAATAGTTTCAGCTATAAACACGTTGCAATTATCAGCACGAACTGTTACTAGAAGAATTGAAGTAATTGCGGAGAATTTGGAGGCAGAATTAGCAAATGATATGGAAAATTGTATTTTCTTTTCGCTACAGATGGATGAATCGGCAGACGTGACAAATATATCACAATTAGCAATTTGCGTGAAGATGGTATTTTCTGATTTTACAACAAAAGAAGAATTCCTTAAAGTTCTGCCATTAAAGGGAAGCACCAGAGGAGAAGATATCTTTTCTACTTTTAAAAAGTATATAACAGATGTAAAATTACCTGTACAAAAGTTATCGTCAATTACAACAGACGGGGCACCAGCGATGACTGGTAAGAAAAAAGGATTTATTGCCTTATGTAGACAGGATTCCTTATTCCCGAAATTTATTTCTTATCATTGCCTCATACATCAGGAAATGTTATGCGCAAAAACAATCGGTTTTCAACACGTATTTACGATAGTAACAAAAATTATTAATTCCATAAGATCGGGAGCTATGCAACACAGATTGTTTAAATTACTTTTAGAAGATGAGGACGTTCAGTTCACAGATCTTCTTTTACATACTGAAGTGAGGTGGCTGAGCAGAGGTAAAATACTTGAGCGGTTTATCATGCTTTTGCCACAAATAAAGGAATTTATTGCATCAAGAGGCGAATTTTACGAGCAATTAGAAAATAAGGATTGGCTAATCGACCTCGGATTTCTGACAGATATAACGGCAAAGTTGAATGAATTAAATTTAAAAATACAAGGGAAAAATCAGCATATCGCTGACATGATTAGTGCAGTAAATGCATTCAAATGCAAGTTAGTGTTGTTGAAATCCCATCTATTGAAAAAATCATTATCACATTTCCCAAATATAAAATATACTGTTGAGAGTTTAAATTTGAATAATGAAAATTTTACTGCTACATCATATTTAGAAATTATAGATAAGCTAATAGAAGAGTTTTCTTCTAGATTTGAAGATTTTGCAGCATTAGAACCCGTTCTAAGATTTTTCATAAATCCATTCAATGTTACTGAAGATGATGTCCTTGAAATAGTTTCAGTGTATTTCGAGCTTCATAATATCGAAGACCTAGAATTAGAAATAATAAACTTGCAAAGTGATATTATTTTAAAAGCGCATAGTAATGATAAAATGTTTTGGAACTTAGTCGATGAAAATAAGTATCCTATTTTAAGGAAATGTGCGCTAAAAATTTATTCATATTGTGCAACAACATACAATTGCGAGTCTTTGTTCTCAAATATGAAATATTTGAAATCAAAATACCGAACAAAGCTTAATGACTCACATTTAGATAATTGTTTAAGGACCGGGAACTCTAAATATATCCCCAATTATAAGAAATTAGCTGAAAATATGGACACCCAAGTTTCACACTGAATTATATGTATCATTATGTATGACACCAACAAAATAAAGTTATAAAAAATCTGTTTTTTTTTTTAATGCCTATTTATACTTGTTGATTATCTGTAAAATATGCGCCCTTGGTGATTTTCAAATTTAGTATTGCGCCCTTAAGGACAAACAGGTTGCCGACCCCTGCTTTAGATCATAATTGTTCTTTATTTTCCTCATTATATATTGTGCAAATAAAAGAGCATGGATGCCGCAAGCGTTACTGAATGATTGGTTTGAAAATCATTTTATAGAGGGTCGGCAACATTTGAATTCAGTTGGTTTACTTGATGATGCAAAAAATAGTCCTGATTGTGCACAATTGTTCGGCTCATACTTCCCTTAAAGTTTTAGGGAAAGATAATGCAATCGTATTATTCTTTCCTCCAAATTGTATGTGCGTCATTCAGCCTATGGATATCGTAGTAGTGTGCACACTGAAATGCAAATGTAAAGTACCATCTGGAATCTTTTAAATATTTTAGCATAAAATCTGCTGTGTGGAGCATCGCAAGGCTGTGGGAGGATGTGTCTCCAGATACTTTTAAAAATGCCTGGCATAATTTATGGCCAGCTATCATATTTCATGATGAGGACGATGAAGATGATAGCCACAAATCTGAAGGTTTTTGGATATCACAAACCAAAGGTGAAATTTTCCAGTTAATGGATTTTGTAAAGTTAGTCGGAATTCTCGACACAGCAATTACATGACTTGAATAGTGGTACTTTGCACCTGAACAAGAAATTGTGTCTTCATATAGAATTAAAGAGAAAGCACAAAAAAAAACAAAACAACTTACATTGAAAGAAATGTTTAATAAAATAAACAAATAAATATTAAGCTTTTTTTTTTTTGTAAATTTTGATACCCTTTAGATCATAAATGCTCTTTATTTCATAAATCACGATTTCATATTTTTAATTAAATTGTATAATTTGTGGATGCCCTCTTACTAGATTTAAAATGAAGATCTAATATCCAGAAAAACCCCAACTCTGGAATGTCGAAGTCCCGACGAGTCTGGATCTCAGACTTTTTACTGTACTTTTTTTTAAGCGGAATAACACTTAAGTAACAAGAAAAATAAAACATAACTTTTTATTAATGAAAGAAGACATTTATTTTCAAATTAAGAGCATTAAAATTTTACATCGTTCTGTGCATAGTTAGAGGGAAAAGCATTTTCTATGAGGTAACTTTTATATACTTTATGCTAGACAAAATTTATGAAACTAAAAAAATAACTTTACCTGCCATGATCTTCACCTTTGCCAATAGCAATTAAAGCCTTCACATCAGTTCCTTGTAAACCATACAGGAGTAATTCTTTAGCAGCTTCAAAACTTTCAGGGACTCGCTCAAGACATTCATGCAGAACCCAAGATCGCTTGGTTATTTTACTCTAAAGTATAAAACAATACATGACAGGCAAAAAATAGTTTCAATTATTTTCTTTTTTAAGTACAGGGCTAGCATAAATGATTCATTCATTTTGGAAAGGCTACATTTTCAAAAGTATTACATGTGTCGGGGGACATTTACTCAAGTAATTAGTAAATTTTACTACATGGATTGCTTTTCACTCAAAATTTGTATTAGCGAAAATGCTTGATTCAGAATGAGTTCTTTGGTTCTAAATCACTTCACGAAACTATTTGGCCTGGCTTGATTTGCCGGTTTGGTATGGCCATTCTTACTTGAGTAAAAGACAAAACACCTTCATATTTATTAATTATTGTTCATTGAATGGAACTTGGTTTGTTCCCCTTGAAAAGTCAACTAATTTCTGATCAATAGCGACAATTATTTGCTTTTAATTAATTTCTTTTTCAAAGTTTGAAATTTTGTTACTCATGATTTAATTCAAGTCCCCATCAAACATTTTTAATAATTTACATTCAAATTACTTTAAAACACAATTTTTAAAATTAAACTTCCTACATATGGGTTCACTCTTTTTTGATACTTCTACTAAATTTATATTAGGAGATAATATAATCAATATTTCTTTAGTAAATAAATTATACATATGAAAGATATATAAAAGTACCACAAACTTACCAAGTTTATACACCCTCTACAAATAATACATATGTATCCGTTTGGTGACATGATACCCATCTAGGGGATAATCGAGCTCATTCCATACATTTTGTAGCATAGTCCTATCAAATGTCTGCACTGCAGCACTGGGGCGTTCTTTGAGCTCCACAAAGGATTGTAGTAGTAGGAGTACGTAAACAAGGTCCTTTATGTGCCTACATAGAAAGAAGTTGCAGGGCATTAAACCAGGGGATCTGGGAGACCAGGGGAACAAAGCTACGTTATTTTCACCAATACACTCAATCCAGCAATGTGGAAGTTCATCGTTTATGTAGTCATGAACTGAAGTGTGCCAATGAGGGGGTGCCCTGTCTTGTTAGAAGACAAAAATCTTAGAAGTCAGCACTGAGTTGCGGAAGCAACCTCAACTGCAACATATCCAGGTAACATATACCAGCCACAATTTGCTCAGCAAAGAAAACTGGCCCATACATCTTTGTTTGTGACACTGGACAGGAAACATTCACCTTTAGCAAATCTCTTTCAATTGCCGCAACTGCACATGGATTTCCCATGCCCCAGAATCGCACATTATGACGATTCAGATTCCCGGATACGTGGAACATTGCTTCATCACTGAATATCAACTTGGCGAGTACAAACAATGAATACAAACACAATACAAATTATGTGAGTCTATGGTTCTTTATATATATCATTCATGTGTGTACGTGTATTAGTTTTGAAAATACAGCCTTTTTGAAATGAATGAATCATTTATGCTAGCTCTGCATAATTTAAATTTTTTTATTATACAATTGCTGCTCATTATCAAAGAAGAAATTAATGTTATTTTTTTTTTCTTTTAATAGTAAGGAAGTGATTTCTTATAATTAACTGCATAACATTTGAATGTAACATTTAAAATAACTAAAATTTTCCCAAACAGAAAAAAATTTCCATTTGGTCTTTTACTTAATTTAATATGTCAAAGTACTTCACAGCATATCTTCTTAAGGAGACAATGCTTGACTGAAGGCTTTTCAAAAGAAAACTACTCTGTACGTTCTCATTAAGCTTGGATTAGTTTGTGATTTAGATATATTCAAAGGAAAAAATGAATATTTGTTTTACAGGAAAAAAGATACAGAAAAAAACACTGAAACTCTTAAAAACACTGAAAAGTTTTCATAAAATCAGATGCATAATATATAAATTTAAAAAATGACACAAGATGAGTAAGAAAATGAAAAGGATGTTAGTGCTCCAAAAATATAATATTCAAATAATTAGGTCATTAATTTTTTCCTCGCAAAATTAGAATTTTCAGTTTCCCTTTTCTTCAAAAGTAACCAATGAGAATTGCTCTTGAAATAACATTACAAATAGCATTGAAGCAGCATTATTAAAATATGAAATTACACATAATTAAATGTTTAACTCCCTGCTATAAGTTTTAATTTAGCTAAACATCAAATGTTTTGTTTCTTGATAAAATTTCAAACAATTATAAAGTTAAAAAATAAAAAAAATACTGTGACGAACACTGATAAAAGAACAGAATTATTCATATAATAATTACACTTACCAAATAATCATGTATCGATTCTACAGTAGCTGGCATTTTTCTCCATTGGCGCTGATATACAAGATCACAATCCAAATTATAAGTCTTAGCTAAAGCCAGTGCTTCACCATATTCTTCAAGATTTATCTAAAATAAATCTAAATTGTTTAATCTGAATTTTTCTTCTCCTGAAACAAGTTAGTAAATTTCCTTTATATTAGTAACAATTAGTTTTATTTACAAGTTAACATTGAACCCTTTTTCCCTGTTTCAGAACTCTTTTATTCAAAAGGAATAATAGAATTCTTTTATTTTATTATTCTTTTACTACAAATTTTATTTCTTGATCTATTCTTTAGTTATCAACTAATTTTTGTTATTATTTTATTTAATATGTATATATATCGTATAAAACGTCACAAAGGTCGAAGAATCTGTATTGTGAGAAAATAATGGCACCTAGAGCCACGAAATTTTAAACTTGTGTAGCTCTCCACTGGAATACATGCACTTCAATAACTAAATTCTGAATTAATTTTTTAGCTGTTTCATGGTTTGGACAACCTTAATGAAATTTTGGTTTAGAAATCCAATAATATAAATGAAATGTGTTGCCACTGGTCAGATATTTATGCTCCAATTTTAATCAGAAAACTGAATCATTTAAAAGAAATGTGTTTGTACTGCCCAAAATAGTATATTTTTAACTTCCACACATTAATTTGTTACAAAGAAATGTAAAAGCAAAAAATGAGGTTATTGAACTCTATTAACTATTAGCTGGGACAACAACATTACGCCAGCTGCTCTCATTAAAATCATTATACATTTTATCTTTTATAATAACTATTTTAAAAAGGCAGAATAAAAATTCGTGAAACAAATATAAACACATGTTGGGTGATTCACAAAGTATATTATTACTATTGAAATGTTACATTTTTAAAAGAGTCACCAAATTAATGTAAGCAAAAGCTAGATCCTTCATAAATTTATTTGAGTACATTTATATGCAAACAGCAAAGTTTTGTCTTCTTCTTCTCTCTCTCTTTTTTATTATTTATTTATTTATTTATTTATTTTTAAATATATTTGTCTGACCCTAAAAAGGGCCTTTTAGAAAATAAGACTGTTTAGGAAAATTGCTGGCAATAAGAATATTTTTGCTCAAGATCCACATAATTTTTTTACTTTTAATTTTTTTTTTTTTTTTGTAAAAAGGTTTGCTCTTGAAAGTGATAATTTTATTTAGAACCTACACTAACCTACCAATCTAAAGCTGCATTTTTTTTCTCCTCATGGGGTTACTTTCAAATTTTACACCGGCATTTTTCTGTTCCAATGACAGTGATTTTCTTTAATGTTAGTTGCAAAAGCAAACCAACAGAAGTTCTGGACAATTAAAGAAAAAAGAAATTATAATGATACATAAATTTGTACAATACTGTAACAGGTCATTTAAAATATTAACCTGTTATAATATTAACCATAAATACTGGGACCATTTAATATATCAATTATATTAAGTTCAATATATCAAGTATATTAAATTCAATATATCAAGCATATTAAAAACTGCATGTATAAGCTCTTCTAATATGAAGACACAGAGAAACATACAAATTAAGTTAGTTATAGCTTACTTTTCTAGTATAAAGTTCTTCCGGTGTTGTGGATTTCAAACACAACAAACGATAAGTTTTTGTAACCATTCTGGAAAAGGAAAAATTATTACATGCCTGAATGCAATTAGCAACATGTCATGAAACAAACTAAAACTGAATTATTTATGAAAGCAGAAGAGAAACATACATAAAACTAATAACACAACAACATTGAGTTTAGCATAGATTTAAGTGAAGATCTCAATCGATTTCGAGGGCAAACAGGTACAGGACCCTCTTTATCAGGAGCAAAGAAATCTGCAAGATTGGAAAGCAGTCACGGATCACCAGTCTCATACAAAGCTATCAGTCGTGTGACTTTTGCTCATATATATCACTTCTTGAAAGTTGTAAATTCCAGAAGTTAAAAAACATCGGAATAACATCATTTATAGAGTCAAAGATAAACAATGGCATTTGAGATAACTTATGGCATTTTCTGAGCGTTGTCATCTGATCTGAGTAGAACAATCGGAAATCGGTTGCACTAAAGTTCAAAAGTTTAGTAAATTCAAAAATTTCTAGATTAAATAATAAAACACATAAAAATATGCTGTAACTTGCAAAATGATGAGAAAAATCCAAATATTAAGAGAAAAATAATAAATATATACAAGACCCAATTATTATTTTTTTCTCATTCAGCTGGGATCGAATGCTTAATCTCCGTAGTATAAAAAGTCATGGGTCCAGCCCACTCAGCTATGCCTTTCTTGATAAGATTGTCACTAAATTCTCATTTAAACAAACAGTTGAAGAGCCCCTGTAAAGCAAATTCAAGCTTATCATTCTCGTTCCGGACACTAGTAAATTTATGGTAGAGGTCTTTTAATTCGTCTAAGTTTTTTTCTTCAGATCTCACAAAAGTAAAAACAGCTGTTCAGTCTTCTCATATCATCCCAATTCAGTTTAAAAAATCACTTATTCCACCTAATGCTAACTGTGCTAGGTTGCATGCTCTCCCTAAAGTCCATTAAACTGGAATTCCACTTTCGACCCATAGCTTTCAACCTATGAACAGCATCATATCTTTTAGCCAAATATTTAATTTCCAGATTTTCTCCTTTACTTTTTCACAATATTCACACAGCAAGAAATTCTTTTGTAATCGTCTATAAACTTAAAGAATTTTCTTCCCTGCATTCCATTATGATTTCTTTTGATGTGAAATCATTGTTTATATTATAAACATGATATCTACTAATAATTATTTTATACTGACTATTGATAGCACTGAATATTCCTACTAAAATTAATTATAATAATATTAATAATCAGCTGTAAGTATAAATCAATAGCCTGATTATTAAGATGAATTATTCTATGCTGATTACTAAAAATTTTGAGTAATGATGATTCTGATATTTAAACCTGATACCTACTGATTAAGACACAATATCTATCTTAACATCAAAAACTTCTCCAGCATTCATCAGCAATAATTGCTCTCTTAAGTAAGGTACAGGCTCACTTATCTTTTTAAATAAGTTGACAGAATAAGCAAATGAAGAATAAGAATATGTAAATGAAATCATTTGCATATTCTATCAAAACATTTCTATTAAAATATATGCAAATTTCAAGCTTTGGGGTGATGATCCTTTAGTAGTATTGCATTTTGACTGGACAAAAGTATAAATGTAAACTATTTTATATCTATATAAGGGACAGTTAAATGAAAACAAGACAGACTATATAACGAGCATGGCAGATAATTTGGTAACACAGGTAGGTTTGTGTATAGGAGCAGCCTCTATTCGGGATCAGGAAGGAACAGGATAAATGCTCACCACTGTCTTTTTTCTGACAGACAGGTTAGAAGTGAGGTTAGTGACTTGAGTGTGCATCTGCCATCATTGTGGAGGCCAGGAATGAGGAACACCTTGCTGTACAGCATTTTTTTTTTTATTTTTTTATTGTGGAAACAATGTCAGGAAGTTAAATGTGCAGTGAGCTCCTCACAGCCTTATGGAGAAGCAGAGACATCACTGCAGCACCTGGAATAGTATCATGATAAAGAATATTGTTTCCTTTCCCATGAAATGGTCATGGAGTTGATGAAACTTGGTGCCATCATTTTTAGTCAGACAGCAAAGCATCAGAGGAAAGCACACAGGTTCAACACCAAAGGAAAAGCCCACAGCCATGCACACCAGCTCTGAAAACGTCATGCATGGAAATTGCAAGGGCAATCCATATTTTTGAAGCCCTGAAGAAAGGCATTAATGATCGCTGATTTACTTCAGATGAAGAGGTGCATGCCTGCCCACGAAGAGGTTATGTGAGCAACCTAAAATACTTTGCCATAATGACATTGACCATCTTGTCTCACAGTGGGATAAATGTAACAGTTATGGCAATTACTTTTGAAATAATACACAAGTTACTTATTTTTTTATCTACCTGTCATTCATTTTTTCATTTGACTGATGCTTATATATAGATATAATTACTCAAGTAATTTATCAATTTTACTGCATAAATTGCTTTTCATTCAAAATTGAATTAGCAAAAATGCTTAATCAGAATGAGTTCTTTGGTGCTCTGCATTGGTTCTTGATCCCTTCAATTCCCGGAAATATTTGGCCTAACTTAAATTGCCAGTTTGGCATTATCATTCTTACTTGAAAGACGAAACACCTTCGGATTTATTTCTTAATTATTGTTCATTGAACGGGAGATGGTCTGCTAACCATGAAAAGTCAACTAATTTCCGATCAATGGCAATGATACTTGCTTTTAATTAATTTTTTACAACTGAATTGTTATCAGATTTAATTCAAGTCCCCGTTAAACATTTAACAATTTACATCAAGTTACTTTAAAACAGTTTTCGGAATTAATTACTAATATGGATTCACTCTTTAGATAATTGTACTAAAATAATCTTAGAGATAATATAATCAATATTTCTTTAGTAAATAAATTATATATATACATCTGTGTGTATATATACAGGGTGATTCTAAATTGTTTTTACAAATTAAGAGAGGTGATAGTATTCATCCAGATGAGCAATAATTACAACAGAAATAGGATCGCATTCCACTCTGAGAGGCAGAAAAAAGGGATATTAGAATTCCAATCTGAACTTACAACAGTGTTGGGAGAGCGAATGAACGAGACCAAAAGTTGCACAATCAGTTTAGTGAAAAGCTCACAGAGTGCACAAAACAGATAAAACCGAAAACTTGGCGTTCGAGTGTTAATTTAAGCTCAGACACTGATGGCAAACACTCAAATGCACATCTTTGGTTCACTCAACTTCGCAAGCAGTTGCAACAAATTAATTATCTAACCTAGGCCTGAATATTATCAATTAACTCCAACCCAAGGTAGGTTGGATACTATCAAGGTAGCAGTTTTTCCCCCTTCGCCATCTTCTATCCTGTCCTCTTGGACTTACTGTCAATCCTCGACTGCTTATTCTACTTGAAGCTTCCTTCTATGGGACACGAAGTTCTGACAGCCAGAATACAGCATGAACTTTTCATTCTAATCTCGGCATACAGTAGAAGTTGGAGTTAGTTGATAATATTATTCAGCTCTTGATTAGATAATTAATTTGCTGCAATCTTTTGCGAGGTTGAGCAAAGATGTGCGAAGCAAAGATGTGCATTTGAGTGTTTGCCATCAAAGCCTGAACTCGAATTCACACTCGAATGCCAAGTTTTCGGTAATATCCATTTTGCGCACTCTCTGTGAAATTCTTACTAAAATGATTGTGCAACTTTTGGTCTCATTCATCAGGTTGGAATTCTAATATTTCTCTTTTCTGCCTCTCAGAGTGGAATGCAACCCTATGCTCATCTGGATGAGTACTATTACCCCTCTTAATTAGTAAAAACAATTTAGAATCACCCTGTATATATTAGTTTTGATGTTGTCACTTCATCACTTCATCATTGTCATGCCCACAATATACTTCTTTGATAAAATGGCCATCATGCTTAGTAACCAAAATTGGCAAACTTAATTAACCAATCTATAACATGCAAATTTCGAATATTGTCAAAAGTTGATGCAGTGAGCCCTGCCTTTTACATTATTTACTTTTTTTTACTTTCGATATTCAAGAGCTACCTTTAACAAGAAATATTCAGTTAAATTAAGAAAAAAAAAAAAAAATCAAAACTCACTTTAACTTTTTTCTTGGAGGTTGAAATCTGTCACTGTCTGTTATAAAATAAAGGCCTTTTCGAGCAAGATCATAACTGTATGCAAATACAGAAGGTTCTTCTTCATCACTGCTTTCATCATCATCTAAGTCTGCATCTTCAACAGCTCTCCTTTTACTTTTAATACAGACTTCACTCTGAAGATGAAATATAATTTTAAAATGAAATTTCAAAATAAATATACATAAAAAAAATTTTAATGACAAATTTCAAGCACCTTTCACAGTGAACAATAATTAGACAATAACATAAAAAATTATTAGTCTTGATGTTGTCTTAGTCTTAACAATAATAAAATTATTGTTATTATCCAATTTTGCAATCATATTCTACGATCATGATACTGTAAACCACCAAAAGAACTTTGTAAATCCTGCAGATGGTATTAGTATTCAAATAATTGAATTATGCAGGAGGATTTTTAAACTTAAGATTCTACACAACATGCAGAAGATCATACTGCAAATATTTTCAGAACATCTTTCAGAGATACAGTAAAGATCTATAAATAAAAATGATGACTATTTTTTGGTCATGTTATATGATTTCTGTAGTACACATGGCTGAATGACTCACAGCTACTCCTGCTTTTGTTTTGTAAAACTGGAAGGAACTGAAATATCTGAAATTCCTTTTGCTAACTTTAAATTATTAGGAAATTTTTAATTATCTTTTTCATTAAAAGCATTTTGTGGTGGCACCTAAGAATAATCATAATTAAAAGTAGAGATGCATATTCATCCTACCAAATTTTTTAATGATGCGATTTAGGCAAGACAAATTTACACTTTAAGATATATGATTACCAAATTATATAAATAAACATGTACAAACGAGGGATATTAGTTTTTCTTTCTCACTTTTTCTCATTTTTTTTAATCATACATTGGTTTTTTTTTATTTATTTTTTAAGAATTTTTATGGCTTAAATGAAGTTAGGATGATTAATGGGCATGCCGGTACTGATCACCTGGAAAATGCCATCACAGTCTAGAAGGAACAGAACAGCAGTCCCTAGCACCAATATGCAAAAAAATTTGGTAAGTGCAAGCCCAATTAAAGTTTCCCATGTATTTGGACTACAAGGACATTTTACCCCCAACAACACAACTTTTATCACTTCAGAGGAAGCCCGCATGCAAGCCCTGTGATTCAGGAGACTTCTATCCCCCTACTTTGGATTTCCGCCAATGATTCCCATCCTTTTACATTCGATGATATTCCGTTTCTCATCGAATAATTGAGCAATTACGAATTATCTATTTTATTTGCCGCAATTTTAACAAGCCTGGTATGTCCCTTGGGTCGCCTATCTCCGTCCTTATTTTGCTTATATTATACCCATTATCTTCCACTTTAGATAAAATCTAATAGCTTATAGCGATTTATCTTAAATCATAAAAAAATTGGAAATAAAATAAACATAAAAAATTGAGCTATGAAAAATCATGCAACATCCTTCAATTATTTATTGAATAAATATGATATACATAATACTTTCTATACTGCCTATTGATAATACGATTATGAATATCAGTATTAAATCAGTAGTGTAAGTATGAATGTTGTAAGTATAAATCAATAGCCTGATTGTTTTCAATATTATTCTATATGATTCTAATAATTCAAGTAATGATGATTTTGATGTTTGCTTGATATCTCTGATTCTGAAATGCTAGTAGAAAATATAAGGATTCAGAGATTTGGCAGGGACCATGTGCAGAATGGATGAAAATCGAGTAACTAAAAAGATCTTCTCTGATTTGGAATTCGATTCTAAGGAAAGCAAGGGCCCATCCTGGGCTGTCTAGCTATTGAAGAAGAAGATCTACTGATTATGACTCACTATCTACCTTAACATTAGAAACTTCTCCAGCATTCCTCAGCTATAAATGCTTTTATGAAACACTGCCATAAAATTACATGACAGACAAATCAGGATATTATTATCTACAATGACATATTATAATTCATTTACAACATACTCTATTCTGAGGTGGAATATCATAGCCCCACTTCCGAAGATACTGAGAAAGACACTAAGGTTAAATATAATTTACACTAAATCATCATATGCAACAGACAACTTACCATCCTCACACTAAGTCTAGAAGACTTAATAAATACAAAAAAGAGAAAAACCACAAACTAAAAGTTTCTTCATCACAAATTTGTAGTTACAGCTAAAAATTTAACAAACTTAGTCATGATTTGTTGCAAAATCTTGGAATTACAGCTTAAACAACACATCGAAGTAGATTTAACATTTATCAACAACTCCTAATTGTGCACAATCTCATCATCAAGAATAAACATTATTAAATAGCATAAAAAATTCAGTAAAACCACCATAGCAAACAGGAAAGTGGTTCAGAAAGAAATCTACTCATAAATGTGCAAGATATGTTGTCAAATTCTCTCAATTTACACCCATACTCATTTGCCTATTCACCCACCTAACTTCATTATTGGTGACGATGGTGAAAGAAACAGAAGTAACAGGAGAATATTAATATAAAAATAACATTCTAATTAAAATAAACTTTAAAATATGGATACTGTCTTTCTTTTCCAGCTCCAATGAAAAGCAAATAAAAGGAAATTATAGCTGAATCAAATATTGTGGTTCATTCTAGACAAATCTATATTTTAGGTTTACTTTTAAATTTATGTTTTGCCATTCTGTCACATTCCATTTCTATAGGTATTCTGGCACATAGGTACTACAAACAAAAGAAAACAATGAGCTGTCAAATATGCAGATTAAAAATAGGATAACATTGTTTAACTAGCAGTAAAATACAGAAACAGTGCTTGGAGCTTTTCAACTACAGTGATTCTATAACTGATACTAGTATATCAGATCTGACATTGTATACACAAAAGTTACACTTTAAATTGCATACACCCAGGATAGTCTTTAAAATTGTAATCTTATAAATGGAAGGAATATTCTTTCATTAATACATTCATCTGTGCTGCACTTGCATATACCCAATGCCTAGAATGGAATTAAGCAGTTAATACATACGTCCTGTCAAACGATCAGAAGGAAAAGAAAACAGAAGAGTCTCTATCAGTGGCGGCTCGTGGCTAAAATTAGTGGGGGTGCTGTTTAAAATAAATTTAACCTTTGTTTTAAAATTATGTAAAAGGAAACAAACATGAATAAAAAGAAAATTATTTTACTTTAGAATCTTACAAGAAAAAAAATTAAACATTTCTTATTTACTTTAACCTCTTAGATTTTCTTAATTTCTTAGAAAGTTTCAATCTTTTCAATGTTGAAAGCAGCGTCGGCCTCTGAGTAGTATGGGCCTCAAGAGATTTTTTATAGTTTTAATTTCAATCAGAATACTAGATTATTTTCGAAGATAAATTTCAGTAGTATTTTGCAGTCTCTGGATATCAGACCAACAATAGAAAACTTTTAGTTCAGTTGAAGCTTTTCTTTGCCCATCATTGGATATGCTTCAGTAGGTCAGTACTATTTCGGTAGAATGTCATTCCTAAAAACTAAGCATTCTTGTAAAAATTAAGCAGCTGCTAAGTGTTTAGTGGAAGAATCTCTGTGCATTAATCAATACAAGTATTAAAGTCACAATATCCTTAGCTTCTGCATCAGTGTCAAAGTTCTTACAGTACTTTGAGTTTCTTAATTAAAATAGAAGTTTGAAAACTTTAAACACACATTTCTCTGGATTGCATTTAGTTGTTATTATTTTAACATGAGGTCTGAAAAAATCTCTCCAAAACTGGAATTCTCATTTAGTATTTTAAATTCCTGTGTTTTGCATAGTTTGATCTGCATTTGATGGTCACGATTCAGTAAGGCAATTTTTAAAAGTTGTAATTTCATGAACTTGTTTATGGTCGTATGATGAAGTTCCACTTTGTGGAGGAAACCGCACGCGGCGTTAAAAAGAAATCACGTTTTCAGCAACATGTCAGAATTTCGGACTGCAGAGCGATCAGGTCTTCTGTACACGGCTCGCGTGCGCTTTCTGTGTGGCATGCGCAAAAGCCAAAACAACACGTGTGGAACTGGAATGCGTGGCAGTTCCAAGCAAAGCTTTCGTCTTTTCACAAAGTGGGGCTGGCTACTGATTAAGCTTAAGGATATGTATTGTAAAAGTATAAAGAAGACTTAAAGACTAAAGGGCACACTATATTAAATATTGAAAATAATAATAAGTGGAAATAGGGGGTGCTGCAGTTCCACAGTGCTTATTACGAGCCGCCACTGGTCTCTATACATCTACATAGCACATAACAAGACTCTCCATAAAACTCTTATATGGTTTTATTTCTGTAACCCTTGGTCACAGGCATATATTTTAAACGTAAGAAACATTTTAAATGGCAAACGTTCATGTTAATGCTTTTTTAAATTTAAAAAATCAATTTTGCAAAAATGAAAAAAATCTATCTTTTTATATGGTCCTTTGGTTTATATAGCTACGTCTAAATAAATTTTATACTAAACTGTCATTCTGAAAATCAACCACAAAAAATTTGACTCCTACAGGATCAATATTGATCCTGACGACCATTAGATTATCTTAAAAGCAGTAAAACTGCATGTAAATATTACTAATACATGGATTTCAAAAGTAATAAATTACTAGAGTGAAAATGCTTTAAGCATATTAAATGATTTAAAGTTATAATTTAAAGAATATTATGCACTAGTAAATCACATTAACTCTATAAGCAGCCAAGGGTTTGGCTTCAAAATCTTGAACTGCCATAAAAGACCATGAGTAAATGTTATTTTCTTGATTCCAAAATGACCCCAGTAATTTGTACTTTAATTTTTTTTCTCTTACAATACTTATAATATTAGCTTATAATACACATTTGGCCCACCAGCGGCCGAGCGGTAAAGATGCTGAACACTGGTAGTTCGGTCCGAGGGTTCGAATCCCGCGAACGGGCTGGCTGCATGGGCGTTTTCGTGGTTTTCCCCATGTGTAACGTGTATACGAGCTAGTTTCCCTTAGAAAGTCCTCCACGAAAGGCATCCCTCCCCTTAGGCAGATAGCCCTAGTGCGCTTTGCCATAATTAAATACACACAAATACACACATATAATACACATTTTAAGATGCATTTCTGTGACATATATTTTTAGCCTAACTTCTCAAGATAAAGCAAAGCAGACGGCTTTCTGGCAATGAAATAGAAAAATTCTAAGCTCTGAAATTACAAAATTCAGTCAATTTTTACTGTGTAGCAGTGCAGCTTGTTTTACAAGTTCATGTATGAATAAACATTTTCTAAATATAATTAATTATATGCAATAGCAGACTATATAAAAACTAGATTTACAGGAGTCGTATACATTTCTGCACATGGAAATTACCATGGAATTACTTAGGACCATAAATGAAAAAAAAATTAAGGACCTATGAGCAAATGGGAACTGAATAAATTCAATTAAAAATATTATCCATGTCTGAATTTCACTTTTGTAATACCATCTTAAAAATAAAATAGATTCCTAAGTAGTATGCATTAGTCTGCCCCTAAGTAGTATGCATTAGTTATTAATAAGTCTCGAACTTATTAATAATTAAGTTAATTAATGCATGCTAAACATGAATTAACTTAATTATTAATAAGTTCGAGAATAAAGTAAACTTTATGCAATTTATCAAGTAGCATTAAATATTTTACACTTACAGTAGTTGGTCATATTTGAAAGAAGATAAGTGACATTTACGTTTTACTAACAATTAGCTTTATGCTGATTTTTTTTTTTTTTTTTTCCTTAATGTCTTATTTTGTCACATACTTGGTCAGTCTAGAGTTTTAGTAAATAGCAGATAGATTTTTATGTCAAACGGCATAGGTTAAAATGAGAATTAAGATCATAATGAGCACGATTCATAGCAAAAGACTGAATGTTGTCACCGCTGCTGCTTGTCTAGAGAGAGACCTGCTGATTAGAACAAACCTGAAAGGCCTGATGTTGGCATGGTTGCCAAGTGTTGAAAGTTAGTCAGGCTCTGTTTGATGCAGTTAGTGTCGTAGCATCGTGTAGAGTTCCAGGGATTGTAACCCAGTTAATATACTTAAAGGTTCCAATAAGCCATTAAAGCACCAGAGGTGATAAGTTATTTTGTATTATTTTAAGTCTCACTAGATGCAAAGAATAAGTTTTAATTGAATTTTTACATTTTAGGTATTTTATTTTGTAACCAGAGTGAGTATTAATGAAAGGCAATAATATGCAGAGATAATTTTTAATGGTAAGCAGTTAGTTAAAATTTAATTAAATTAGGTAGTTTGATAACCTTAGTCATTATGGATTTACATGGCCACTATTAAATTTTATTTTTTAACATTATTTGTTAAAAAAAGCCCTATTAAAATCAAAATCTAATAAAATTTTACACTTTAAAATACATGTAATTTATGACATTGATTCTTAAATGATATTAGGATAATTACACATTAAAAGCTACATAACATTTATGCTTTGTAACAACAAAACATAAATGTTAACAAAATATTTATCCGTCATTTTAATTCAAAGCCTGCCCAGACATTTTGGCTAGTTTGTATCGATTTCCTTCTCTTTCAGCATCTTTTCTAACAATCAGAGATTTGTCTTAATATGCAAACCAATGCTCTTGCTAGTTTCTGTGTGCTTTATCTTCTAACTTGTCAACCTCTCCACAATATACATATGAGGGTTTACTTGATCTGGTAAAAGTTAAATAGTCCAAAACCCCTGACAGACGTGAAGCATATTATCGCTACGTCGGAAAGTATTTACAATATCAGACAAAGGTTTAAATAAGGCTCTTATTTAAAAAGAACTTAGAACATAAAGGCATTCTGATGTTAACAAAATCAATTGCAGCTCACGGTGACATAATTAAACAAGAACAGTATAATTCAAACTAAAAATGTGGACTAGTGGATTATACAATTTAATCTTAATTTAATCTGGCTCAGTAACTCTATCATATGAAGAAATAGAAGTGGGAAATTATAGTAAAGGCTCTAATCACAAACAATTGGGTAATTTACATTATAATAACAGCACATATCTTTGAAGAATAATTTTCTTTATGTATTCAGTTTCTTTCTTCAAAATATTTCCTTTCCATTTTAGAATTTTTTGGATTTAACTAAGGATTTTTGATATTCTAGAAAACACTAAATGCATTTAGAATGTATAGAAAAAGTGGCTAATTTTATTTCTTTAGTAATATAAACATTCAAAAAAATATGAAATATATATGGTAAAGCATGGTTACAGAGGCTGATATGGCAGAATTTTTAGAATTTAGTAACACACCAAACAACAAAATCTAGAAATGGCAAAACTTTTAGCATTTAGAGCAGGCATTGGAAGCAGAATTTAGGATCTACAGAGATTGCACCAGGTGGGAAAATTCCTAGTGCCAGCTATGTGTATGATGCATTAAGACATATTAGATGAATTTTTTAATTGTAAGTTTTCAATTTATTTATTAATAAAAATATCCAAACATCCCGATCTATAATGCGTCCATTTTATAAGATTAGAAATGTTTTTGATATTTTCCATGCTTGTGTCTAGTGAAAAGTAGAGAAAATAAAGGGAAGATACACATGTTAAGATTCTAGTTTCAGAAGTAAAACATTCAAATATTATGTTTTCATTGTGTTCTTCCAAACATTCTCGAAAAAGTCAGAAATTCATTGCAAACTTTCTGTAAAATACATCCATTTTGTGTTGATACCATGGAGACATTTTTCATTTTGTCACATATTTCTTGAATCTTCTAGAATCGTGGGTCTATAAATCTTGCCATCAGATCCTTCAAAACTTTTCGCAAGTTGCAATGTCTAAAATTCTAAAGAAAAATTATCCCTACCAATTCTGTAACAGCAAAAAGCTAGAAATATTTTGGAAAAAAAAAAAGGAGGGAAAAAGTGTAAAATTAATTTTATAGAGAAAACTGATGCATATTCTGAGACATTTACATGGGAAAAATTGTTACTATGAAAAAATTAAAAAGAAGACATTTTTAATTAATTACATAGCTAATTTTGCTTTTGTTAAGCACTGTTTCATAAATTGCGCTTTATAGCATTATACCTTATTTATTTTTTAGATTAAAAATATTGCATAATAAGTTGCCAAAATGAAACTTTATAATATGACAGCGAAAAATAAAAATGTTTTATTTTAATGTTATTTTTTAAATATAATTTCAATATAATACCATTATTTTAATGAAATTTATCAATGTTACGATGTTTTAAAAAAATCGTCAAAAATTTTCAGACCTCGGAATTAAAAATTTTCTATAGAAACTGATATTAAAATTGCCAAAGTGTTGATAAGTCGCCAAATTTAGAACCGTTTAATAAAAGAATTCACATCCCCAAAAGCGAAAAGTTGTTTAAGAGCTCTTTATTAGAAAAAATGAATTTCGAAATGGTTAAACGATAACCAAAAATATTCCTGAAAAATGCTATTTCACACTCAAAATGTCAGTCGTAGAAACAGACAGAAATTTCCGATGATTAAAATGAAGGACATTTCTGCCGATTTTGGCCAAAATTAAAGGACCAAAAACCGATTCCAAAAAATGTAAGGACTTTTAAGGACCATACGAACTCTGTTTTAGTAGTTTTTATAAAACAGACATTATATATTTATATTCAATGATCAGAAAAACAAAAGGCACATAAAGGATTTTATGGGCATGCTGCATAATATACCCTCTTTCCAATCTTCGCTGGTGTAGTGATTATACAGGAACAGGCACCTAGGCTGTGTAAGCCTCATGGGTCGAACATGTAGATGATGAACATATCTTTTTGTAGTAGCATAGTAAAAGTGCCGATGTGGATGAAACAAATTTTTCTTTTGAAAAAGTTCATAGTGATGGAGAATAGCGAAGGTAGTAGCCGATTATTGTAGTATTGTAGTGTGAGTTGGTTGTAATAGCAATTATTGTCAAAATATGCCATAAAAGTTGAAGAAAAGTCGATGATTGAAGAAGTACGTGCTGCTGATGGGAAGTCCATAGCTCAAATGACCGAGGTGGATTTAGAAGCTGGAGTACAGTCCATCGTGGGTGTGGCTAGAAGCGCAGAACAACAGTAAGAGGAGAGGTAGACATGACAGAGCAATTCAGGCATTCGATGGAGGGGGAGGGGCAGACTCTTTTTCAGTAACCATACTTTTAGAAGGGATAGCCGAATGAAAGTAAGGGGGAGTGGGGAGTTACAAATAATTTTAATTAAGATCGCTTAATGCATTAGAGTAATAATTTATTAACTAAGCCAGTTCCACTCAGAACGTAATTGGAATAAATGTTATTAATTAAAATCTAGAGGGGGTGTTAGAATATTTCTGTGTATTTGTACTGGCTTAACGTTTGCAGCGCCACGTAAGGTCAGTGGCGAGAGCCCACTACTAAAGAGTAAGCCATAGGGATGCACTCGGTCCACACCGAGTCTCCGTTCCTCTGCCCAAACAAAGCGGCAGTCAATTGTTAATTGTTCCTTACTCTATCTTTGCCCGTTTAAGCGGCATTATTGTGTTTGAAAGAAAATAAATGTTGTTAAGTTTCTCAACTTGACTTTTATTAATTAATATACAGTCCACAACTACCAATTGCTATCAATGAAATGTTTTTTCTCCTAGAAGTTCTTTATTAGAATGCTGGCATGCAATATTACTTTAAACATATTTATTTTCATTCATACATATAATAATTTCATTCATACAATGTTTATTACTTTCACTTCAAATTTAGAGTTTTTAGTTTTTCAGAAGTTAATATTTATCTGACTTTCTAATTTAAATCACACAACTATTTCAAATATATAGTTATGTTAAATATCATTCAGGTATTATTATTGTGTAAACTTATACCTCAATCGCAAGAAAACCCCGATCACAAAATGATGTTACAGCTGGTGAGGGCTCAAACCATTCCGGTGAAATTCCCAATAAGTTACGAAGAGAATTTATAGAGGATACTGTTACTGCTCCACATCGGCGAACTATTATCACAGCCTGTAAAAAAGAATAAAAATAAAACATAGCATCTACACAAACTAGGTTCATTTAAACTATTTGAAATAACGGTACTTTTCCATTTCGCCAAAGCCGGCAACGAAGCCACCAAACATGATACAACCGATAACAAATGGAATATCCGGCTGGTAATCTTTTGCTGTCACATTTTCAAAACAAGTTGTGGCCATTTTTTATCAGTCATGTCTTTTGCCCAATGCATCAAAAGTGGATGAAAAACCAATGAAAATTTGGGATTTGCCCAGAACTGACGAAAAATCTGTTGGATTCTTTCAAGCGAAAGGCGTTCAGCCTAAAATTGCTCTTTATGATAATAATCATGAAATTAAATTTAATGTCAGAGCCAAAATTCAATGGTGCCGCGATCTTTCAACTCATTGCAGTAAAAGAAGTATCCAGAAAGGCACATCGTTTGAGTCATCGAAATTGATTATCCTGAAGTATGCAAGTTTTATTTATGGTTGGAGTGAAGAATTAACTTCAGTTAAATGGTGTGAAAAATCAGTCAAGGAAGAGTTGCAAACTGGAATAACTACAAGCGCGAGGTTTGTGTGGTTTCTTTGCTTACACATCAACAATGACAAATGGGAGGACCTGGTATGATTGTCGAAGTGGGTGAAAGTGTATTCACAAAGCACAAACACAATGCCGGACAGTTTCTACCGCAACAGTGGATCTTTAGTTGAACTTGCCATGAAACAAACGAATGTTCCCTTGTGAAGCTGGCAAACTCATCCATGAGCATTATATTAGAAGCAATCAACGAAAATATCAAAAAAGGAACTATAATAAATATGGATTTGTGGAAATCCTACCGCACTGAAAAACTGGGAGAGGAAAGTTTTGAACATTTCAGAGTAAACTATTAAAACAATTTTGCTGATCCTGAAACTGAAATGCACAAGCAAAAATAGAAAGACTATGGGGTAGCGCCAAATGACGAAATAAGAAGCACAGAGGAAAGGCACATCATCATCTAAAAATCATCTTTCGGAATTTATGTGGAGAAGGGAAATGAAAGACCCATTTGATAAAATTTTAAATGATATTACAATATTTATATTTCTAAAGTAAAAGATTTTTTAAAACTAACGTCAGTAAATTTCTTTTTTTTTTTTTTTTTTTTTATGTGTATACTGTGTGTTGTCACCTGTTTGACGAGATTTGCGCCGGCGAAATGGAAAAGTACCAGAATACTTCTATAAATCAGTACAGGATTAGAAATAAAATTACACTAAATTAATGGCTAATAAAATATTTTCAAGCAAAAAAAAAAAAAAAAAAAAAAAAAAAAAATGAAAGCTTTTTAATCAACAGTTTAACAGTTAATCAACAGCAATCAACAGTTAATCAAAAACTCATAAATGCTTTACAAAATATGAAATAAATAATAAAACAAACAAATCCCAAATTTGTGCTTGCAGATGCCCGTATTCAGGTGGAGACGTACGTTATTCAAAGTTTGATGGCTCTGGCAACAATTTAGAAAGTGATTCGCTGTTTAATGTGAATCAACGAAAAATGCCAAAACAAAATTAACAGCCCTTCTGGCAAATTGCCCTTTGCCAAAAAGGAAATTGTATTAAAAAAGAAAAAAAAAAAAAAAAGAGGTACATAAACATGGTAATGATGATGATCATCAAAATCAAATATTAAAACCTCAAATTACCAACTCATTTCATACCAATTCATTATTATTATTATTATTATTATTATTATTACTGATAACAATGATGTCATTTGAAATATTCATGTTACAGTAGCAGAGCTACTATATGTTGCAGATGGACTACTGTCTGTCTACGGTAAGGACAGCTCCCGCAACGGCGTCTGGCATATTTTTTCGTAGTGTTTTGTTAATCACCAATTTTTTAAAATGCCCTTCCAGTTTAAGGCAGGTCAACCTTTAAAGTCTCAGGCACGTCAAATCGTGTACAATGTCGCAGAATTTTGCACTTCTGAAGCTTTGGCGACCTCTTTAGTAGTTCCTCTTCCTCAAGTTTTGAAGAGAACATCACAAGCTACTGGAATATCGGAGTATACAATCAAAAAAATTAAGCATGAAGTATCAACAAGGTGTGAAAATAAACTTCTAAATACACCTGGAAAGAAACGTAAAAGCCCTGCTAATCATAAATGCGAAATTGACGATTTTGACAAATGCGTTATACGGCAGATAATACAAGACTTTTACATCAAAGAAAAGAAAGTGCCATCTGTGCGGAAATTACTGCCTGTCTTGAGGCAAAAAATAGACTTCCCGTGGCAAAAAGACTCTTCGTGCAAAGTTTTGCATTCAATGAATTTTCGCTGGAAGAAATACGTTAACAAAAGAAAAATTCTTATCGAAAGACTTTACATTGTATTTTGAAGGAACAATTATTTACGCGAAATGAGGAAACTCAGAGCAAGTGGATGCCATATCGTTTACATTGATGAAACATAGATTGACAGCAATTTAACTTTTAAGAAATGTTGGCAGCATGATATGGTTTTGGGCGCACAGATAAATGTCAATTCAAAAAATAGACTGATTGTTGTCCATGCTTGCTCTTCCGCAGGATTTATTCCCAGTGCCCAATTTGTATATAAAGCATCAGCTCAAAGCAGGGATTACCATTGGTAACTAAACTAAGGAAATTTTGAAAAATGGGTGTTGGAAAAGCTTCTTCCAAATTTATGACCTCAAAATGTGGTATGCATGGATAATGCCCCGTATCACACAAAAATTGAAGATCCGACACCCACAAAATATGCTACAAAGTAAATAATGGTTAATTGGCTGATGAAGAAGATGATATGCTGCAATCCCAAAATGAGAAAAGCAGAACTGTTTAACTTAATAGAATGTAATCGTTCCTAAAAAAGTAATCTATAAAATTGACAACATCATAAATGAAAATGGGCATCATGTTGTGTGTCTCCCTCCTTACCACTGTGATCTAAACGCAACTGAATATGTTTGGTCATCAGTTAAAAAACTGATCAGGGAAAGGAATGTGACTGGGAACTTAAGCTTGGAAAATTTGAAAAATTTAACACAAAAAGCTTTGGATGAAGTCACTTCTCAAGAATGGCAGATGCACTGCAACCATGTAGAAAAACTTGAAAATTCTTATTGGGACAAGGACGAACTTCTAGAAGAGATAGTGGATGAATTAATAATTCAAACTGGCAGCAGCGATTCTGATTCAGAAGAAATGGAATCCTTGCGACAGTGATTCAGACGACTTTTTATATGTTATACCTCTATAAAAGTCCTCCAGGAAGGCATCCTTCTTCTTAATCTGATAGCTCTGTCAAGTTATGAGGATATTTCTAGATTAAGTATTTTCTTTGCCACTATGTAAATGAAAGATTACCAAAAGTGGGCAACAATGAGCCTTTGGCAGAGGCGAAACCCCCCTTGTAGATAATAAAGAACACTGAATGGTTGCTTAATTTCCCATTACTGTGTTCTTAGGGACCCACAAGCCATGGTATAATTTTCTTAAAAAATAATTTTTAATCTTTAATGAAAATTAAATAAGTTTTGTTTTATTATGAAAATATTAATACAAAATTATGTTAATGCAACAAAGCTCACTGCAGTTATAAAAGCCAAATTTTGTGTAATTATATAAATTTCGTATAATTTTAAATATAAAATAGGTAACTGAATAATTTAAGAAACCTTAATTTTGTTCTTATTTTAACATTTTATTATGCTACTAGCTATTACAGTGTCTATAAAAAACAGCATTATACATAAATGGGCGCTGGTAATTAAGAGGCCCAGCAGTGGCCGATCAGTAAAGTCACTGAACACTGGTAGTTCGGTCAGAGATTTGAATCCCGTGAACAGGCTGGTTGCATGGACATTTTCCCCATGTGTAACGTGTATACGAACCAGTTTCCCTTAGCAAACCCTCCATGAAGGCATCCCTCCTCTTAGGCATTTAACCCTGGAGGCTTTCCGTAATCATATACACCAACCCAAACCACTGGTAATTAAGTAAAAAGCAGTTTTGATTTTAATTCACCTTTGCTTCCTTTTGCCATTAAATTGACCAGCTTTTGGTTTGGTTTGAAGGTATAGGAAAAGAAGAAATGTTCGCAAAAAGTATTTATTGAGAGCACGGGTATGTAAATAAACGCTTTTACTTTCCATGATTCCATATTAATGATGAAATTTTTAGTCATAATTAAAGCAAAAGAAATCAATTAAGAGAAAATTATGTAATAAAAATAACGGAACGTCATTATTAAGGCACAAGCAATAAATTAACAGGAAAATTTTGAAATAGAAAACATAGCAAAAACGTCATTCAAAGACTGAAGAAATTGCTTTGAATGTTTACCAGTAGATTAGCTAGAGGGGAGAATTATAAAAATTTAATTTAGTTTACATTTATGAAGTGCGTGTCTACTATATTACAGAAAATGGAGGTAATTCAAGTCGACCTTTCTAAGATGTCATCTATGAATTTGCAAGCAAACAAATAAACAAAAAAGAAGCAAAATAATAGCATGATTTTTTTAAATGTAAAATTTTAAATTTTTCTTCAAACATAAGCACGGATTTTTAAATTTATTTCCCTACAAGTTATTTTGATATATTTTTACTTATTGTACATCTGAAAAGATGGCAAATTCGGCGACTTGTACCTCACACGGCAAAATCAAAGACCATTTCTTGACGGCAAAAGCTTTATCTATGCCATCAAATTTTCATTTTCAGAAATTGGATGTCGGGGTCGATGCAGAGGGTCAACAAGCATTTTATTTGAAACTAAAACAAAATGTGAATATCACCAAATCATCTTTAAATGCACCAAGGTGGCAAACTGAGAAGTAAATCTTCAAGACACCCCTACGAAAACTGCTGCTGGCAAAAGCTGTTCTTACTATAGACAGACAGTACATACCTTCAGCATTCAATAGAACATCTTAAAAAAGAGTTTACAATTGAAAATTAGACTTCTTACACAATTTTGATTCCCATTTTGTTTTTTAACAGCAATTAAATCTACATATAACAAAGTTTGAAATGTTGCTACAAATACAATTAACATATTGCTACAAAACTTTGTTATATTCATCAGATTTTATTTTCATGCAGAAGAACACGTACACAAAAAGTGCAGCAAGGAAATTTGCAATCAACCTATGAGAGAAATCTATTTTACTTAGAACACTCATGATATTAAATAAGAGTTGTTGAAAAACGTATTCAGAAGTCGAGATCAAATAGCTCATTGAATAATTACTTCATACTACATTCAAGAACACACTTTTATAACAAATGCAAATGGAAAGGTCTTATTCATCATTAACTGGAACACTTAAAGTGATGAAGCATGGACATTTCTCATTGCTTCTCAAAATTTAGCATCTCAGACTTTTCAAGCTTCAGTTACTGTTTTTATCAACAGATGGTGCTACATTCATCTTCTCTTTGCTTAGCCAATTGATTTTCTATAAATTTGTTGCTTCAAAACAGATACTTTTATTCAAAATCTATGCCATGCTAAGGTTTCTTTTTTGTTGAATTTTACAAAATCAAGTCTTGAGAATCAAAATCTGTGGATATGATTTGTATCTTTTCTCACCAAATCATCATTTGCTAATGAATATAACAAAATAACTCACCTCATTTGACCACCAGTTAATATCAATAATATGGGAGTAAAATGCATTAGTCTGCAAAAAATCTGCTCGCCGTTTCATCCCTGGTTCACAATACTGAGGATTAACATCAGTAGAATTTGGCTGCAATTAGTAGAAAAAATAATATGAATAACACACAATTAAAAAAAAGATTGGATAAATACATGGATAAATTAAAATGATTTAAAATATGTCATGGAAACAATAAATAAAATCTTGGAAATATTAAATGCATCAAATTAAGTTGTAAATTCAGTCATGATCCTTTAATAAGATACACGTAATGCACACTATATTCACAATATCAATCTGCACTATATTCACACAGCACAGCTGCCAACTTTGAAATATGAGAAGCTGGGAGGTTTTGGGGAGATTTTTGCACTGTGTAGCAGCAGCATTTTACACTGCCACATCCACAACTGCCCTTCACAAAAAATTCTTTTTGTTCACTTCGCTTTTTCATCAACAGATAGTGTTATGTACTTTGTTTCTTGTCAATACCCTGCTATTCTATTACAGCATTAACTTGAATGTGTAAGGTTTATATTATTTAACAGAATTTTTTTATGTTAAGTTAGGTGGGATTAAATACTGAGAGCATATGTTGAAGAAAAGATTCAGCACTGCTGCCAGCAGTCATGATATTCTCTCGTAGTTCTGCTTATCAGTGATTTCCATTGGTTTCGATCATTCATGGTTGAGTCTATGGATAGTAACTATTTACTTTGCATATACTTAAAATTATTGAAATTCCAGACTCGTGAGAAGAGTAGTTATTTTAAGTCCATTAATTTTTTTGTTTGTATATATGATTAACAATACAAATATACTTTAGATTATTTTTGCAGTGTTCAATTAGTGTATTAGATAAGTTAGATTATTTGAATATGATACAACACGTGAGAATAAACTAAATACAGGGAAAGATGCCTTCATGGAAGATATTTTAAGGGGAACTGGCTCTTATCCACATTACATATTGGGAAAATCGCAAAAGCCAATCACGCAACCAGGCTGTTTGCCTGGGTTCAAACCTGTATCAAACTACCAGTATTCAGCAGCCACTGGAGAAACCTAAGTGTGTTGACTTGTAAGTTAAAAAGCAAGAGCTATAATTAAACTTAATTATGTTTTCTTTCTGTGAAAGTTAAATAAATGTGCAGTTAAGGGTGAAATTAGTGTTAGCCTTATAAAGGTTCTCTTTCTGTAATAGTTAAACAAACAACTTAAACATTTTTAAAACAACTTTTAATAATACCTTTATATTATATTACACTAAGTCTCATAGCTTTTAGCTTTTTCATTAACACTTTTTATCAATAACATATCCTTCAGAAACCATCAGAAGAAATAAACAGTGGCCACACCAATAATCATATAAATTTTTATAATTCACTAAATATATTTGATGAAAATGGGTATAAAAAGTAAATACACAGTAAAAAAAAAATTGTAAACATAGAGCAGTGCAACATTACTTGAAGTTGCAATGGCCAGTACTTTTTCAGTCTCAAACTTGGTAAATCCCAAAGTGACAGAGCCCCAGACAAATGAACAGCAGCTAAGATTTTTCCATTTGGCGATATGCTCATTTTAAAGACTAGATGATCCTAAAAATCAATTTAATTAATTACGGGAACACATGTGAGAATTACAAATCTGTTAATTATAAAATGTATAAAAGTATGATGCACAGATTGTATTATACAGTTATGAAGATATAAAAAATATAATAATAATAAGTAATGCAGTATTACATCCCCTTCAAGAAGAAGGTGGAACTAGTGATACTGTGACACCCGACTTTGAAGAAGAAATATCTATATATTCAAATTTTGACCTCTTTAACCAGCATATCATACATGACACACTTCAATTTACATCTGTCTGCGTGATAATAAATGTAACATGGGAGCAATTACTGGCAGCCTACATTACATTTAATACAATAAAACAAAATATTTTATTTGAAGTTTTAAATGAAAAAAAAGGGGAATTTTTAAATGAAAAAAAAAGGGGAAATGTTGAGAAACTCAACTGAATGGAGTGTCCAGCATTAACTTTGTTACTATGAGCATTATTTATTTTTTCATTCTATTAAGTGTACAACATGTATTTGGAGATTAGAAACATTTTCACACACTGCAGTCAGTTTAAAGATTTGTATATGAAAATGGCAATAAGATATACAGCCTACTGATACTTTAATTTTTTAGTTTCCTACTTCACTGTGTTGTGGAAACAATTTAAATACTTAGATATAATCATCATTACTAATATTAGACTTTTTTAATTAACTTATTTTTTATGTGTTGTAAATATTGGGATTTTCTGATTATTTTACCAATAATATATATATATATATATATATATATTTAAAGAACATGTGGAAAACCCCAAATATTGGACGGAAGGCAAATTTTATGGGTAACTTTTTTTGCATGCTAGACTAAATTGCAAAACATTTTCAAGCATACAGTGGCATTCAGAGTTCCAAGGTCACAGGTTTGTACTGAACTTCATTCTCTTTGCCTCAGAAGCAAAGAGGTTAAAAGAGGAAAAAGAATACAGATTTACTAACTTCTTTTAAACTTCCATATGATATGTGCTGTGAAAATGATGACCACCATTTGCTTTTTATATATGCCTGAAAAGAATAAAATAACAACACATAAGCAAAATTTATTTCCAAATTAAGCAATTAAATATCATAATAACACTCTTTGAATTAAACATACTATGTGATCACATAAGTTGAAATAATTTTATCACAGACGTTTATCCAACAGATTTAGATAATAAAGCAATAGAAGGTTTATTAAAATTGAAATATAAGAACATACAAATGTTTAATGGCTATTAATTTTGATAAAAAAATATAAAAACAGATTTCAACAGCAGATTAGACAGATATCACTAACAAATTTTGAAATTAAACCTTTTCCAATTAAAAGACAATAAATTCAGTAAACACATTTTTATCAAGGAACTACAAAATTACGCCTTTTAGAATTTTTACCCAACTGGTCTAGTGGTTAGCATCGCTGACTGCCATGTAAAAAGCCCGGGTTCTAATCCCGGAGAAGGATGTTTGTAAATGTACAATATCCGTGTAGCATGGGGGCACTCTAAATATGGCATGAGCTGAAAGTCATCTCGAAAGATTGGTGGTGGGGAAAGAGGGGTGAAAGACCCTTGGACCTGTCCCCCTGGAGTGCTCACCATCAAAATAGGGGGGGACTGAGCTAAATTGCACTGTCACCTGTAAGGTGCTCAAGGTGTTGCCAACAACAGACATATCTTGCACTCTTTGCCATGAGAAATTTTGTGTACTGATCCATGTTTTGCCATGGGAAATTTTGTGCTCAGACAAGTGAGCATTAGTCAACAATAAAAAAGGCAAATAAAACAATTTTAGTTTGACATTTATTACTAAATGGAGGCAAGAAGATCATCAATGACTGACTGTGAAATGTTTATAAAGTTTTCAAAATTTTCAACGTGTTTGCTTAAATACCGTCTGTCAGAGAGCTCAATTGTATAAAAGATGGGTTCAAAAAATTCCCTAACCCTTTAACAGAAAGTCACTTTTAAATTTATATCTTATCAATATATATGCAGTGCCACAGTGGCACTCCATATATAATGGTAATATTGGGAACTTCATCTTGGCTTTTAAGTAATTATATGATGATTAGATGCTGCATTATGCCTTTTTGTTTACCTATATATTATGTCTATTTTTGTGGTTTTTAAAATAGTTCAATTGCATGAACAGTCCATTAACACAAATTTAAATTCCAATTAACATGACTGACCTTAACAAGCTTCTTCTTGGCTGCCAAGTTTTCAATTGCAATTGATCACTGCATTAGGCCGCTTCATTTATGTGGATATTGTGTCTAGTCTGTTGTTTCCAAAAAGGATGAATTTCAAAAATTCATAATAAACTGATTCAGAAATAAATTTATAGACATCCATGAGATGCTGAAGCAAGCTCATGATCACTCTTTAAATTTGCACAATGTTATAATTGCTTAAATGATTCAAAAATGGTCAACCATTTAGTGATGATGATTTTTGTTCACACCATCCATGACATCAAGTGGTAATACTCATTTAGTTCAAATATGAGAAATTCTGTGTTCAAATCAGTGCCTGACTGCATGAGAAATCACTGATGATTACAGCACTTCAATTGGTTCATATTTTGACTATGACCCTATAAATGTGTCGGACTGCTACAAAATTTATATCATATCTGCTGACTTGGAATCAGAAAGACAAACACATTACAATTTGTAAAGAACTTTTGGATCATGCAAATGAAGATAAGAAATAATCACTGCTGATAAGATAAAAAAATCAAAACATTTTCTTTAAAATGACCTCCAATTTCCATGTAATCAATCAGATTTGAGTAATGTGTTTAACTTCCAATTATCCACTATCTGAAGATAACTACATTATGAGGAGTTTTTAGTACTTTTTATTTACTTTATTAAAAACTAAATGGCACAACAGCCCTAAGTGAGCTATGGCCTGCAATGCCCTGATATCTGCTTTCTTGACTGTTGGCCCTGGGTGCATAAGCGTATGCCCTGGACAAGTGGTCAGCTCTTTGCAGGACCCCCGGTGCTTTGCCCAGCATGGGGATCGAACAGTGGACCTGTGGTGCTGCTGCACTAGCCACTGTGCCACCAGGCCCTATACTGTTATTACATTATTATTATGCATTATCTTTATTTATTTTTGAAGGGGATGATAATTTACTGGTTGAATAATATAAATTTTTTTTCTAAATATTTTTAATTCAAAAGTTTCCATTGTAAGTACAGAACTATTAGCACCACACGCCAATCAAATGTTCTTTTATTCATAAACCAAAAACACTGGATTGCTAAGATTTTCTGAAGATAACTTCATTTTGGGTAAAAATTCATTTCTTGATGTTATGAAGGAAACAAATTCAATGGTGCCTGTCAAAAGTGCACATTTAATAATACAAATCTGACAACAAATTGTAGAACTGACATAAGTTTTTGGTGTCTTTGCAAAATGTGTAAAAAAAACAATTTTGCATAAGAGATCATAAAATTAAAAAATGTTTGTAAAAATTCTAAATAATTCTTAAAATTGGCAGATATACATAAGATTTTTATTTTAATACACATAAAGGAATAAACATGATATACCCTTTGTTCTTCTAGAGATAAAGTTAGTTTATAGTATGGTGGACCAATTACAGCTCTCCATGCTGATAGCCCCATTTGTGGAACCATGGCATCTTGAGTATTTGTTGCCACAGAAAGCTTTGCTGATTTACCACTGACAATTATGATATTATCAGTTGGATGGTATATAAAGCATGATATTCCCAGAGGATAACATGAGGAGAATGTGAAAGTATGGCTTTCCTTATATCCATCAGTAGGACTACAAAGAAATTAAAAAGCATAAATTAGAATTAAAAGCTAGCATACAGTTACAATAAATCAAGTAACCTAAACTAATATTGAGAAAGAAGCAGTCATTCTTTTATTAATACTGTTAGACATTTGTGAAACATTTATTCTATTAACTACTTGTTCTTATATTCATAAAACCATGCAATTAGTTTATTTATTATTTGTCCAGCATCTTATTTTACTGCAACCACTTTCAACATTGACTCTTTTTAATAATTACAAGTAATTCTTCCCTATAGATAAACAGCTCTAGAATGCTTAGCCATAATTAAATAAGGCAATTGAATACAAAAAGATTAATCTACAATTCAACTGCTGACAACCAGTCAATGAGATGACTGGTCTTGTATTTTTTTTTTTTTTTTTTTCCCATTCTGCATTATATGATGGTAGTGACCACTAAATCTCTTTCCACTGTGCATCGTGCATGCATACTAGTTTCTTTAGAAATGTGAGTATGCAACCCTCTTCACGTAGATAATTTCAGTGTTCTTTGTAATAATGTTGATACTCTTCTGCTATCAGGACCAGATTCAGAAAAGTATGCATGTGTGCATGTATGTATGTGCATATATGTGTGCATATATGTGTGCATATATATGCATTCATACATATGTATGTACATATATACATGCATATATGAACACATCCATCCATATATATATGCAAATATACATACAATTTTGAATCCAATCCCAATAACAGTACAGTACCTAATTATCTACCTTATTCAAATGTGGATCACTTTGCAGATGGTTACTAAACATCTAATTTTTTACAAACATAGAATACACAGCATATACATTTTTATCATTAGTCATCGTCCTGATTTTGAAATACTGAATCAGATTAGGTCCATGAATTTATCACGATCAAGAGCAAGACAGCATCTGTTGCTGGTCAACATCTTGAGCTCCTTACAGCACAACAGTATGTAACAGCTCATTCCAGTTTTGAAGGAGAAACTCTGACTGAAACCAAACAAGGGTCCCTTGCTATCTTGATCAATATAGTGATTAGCAATGATTGCTGTCATCTTTGCACAGAGTTCGAAAGCGCTTCTACAGGAGTAAAGCACAAGTTGATGTGCAGAGGTGGTGCCAATCTTGCGATGATTGTGCACGCCATAAAGGACTGAAGCAATGCAACCAAGGAAGCTGCAATGTTACAATGTGGAAGTACTTTTGAACACACTGCCATTGACATCCTGCACCATCTGCCATGAACTGCTGTTGCAACAAATACATCCTTGTTGTCACTGATTACTTTACAAAGTGGACTGCAGCATATCCTATCCCTGATCAAGAGACTGCCATAGTAATTTCCAGGTTTCCACAATAATTTTCAGGTTAATAAGGATTTCCAGGTTTGAAGGGCTATATACTAGCTCTCTGATCAAGGAAGGAATTTTATCTCAACTGTTATTAAAGAACTCTGCAAACTACTCAGCATAGACAAAACCCAAATGACACCTTTACATCCACAGCCAGATGGCATGGTAGAAAGGTTTATTAAAGCCATCTTTAACCACTCGCTAAAGGTTTCCAGAAACCAACAGCACTGGGACCAGAAGTTATTTCTGATCTTACTGGCCTATCACGGTGGTCTTCATGAGACTACCAGCTCAATCCAGATGCTCTTTGATTGTGGACTTGATTTACTTGTGATCTGTTCTTTGGTCACTTTCCAGACATGCCTTTATCGCCTAAGGAGAACATTCAAGGTTTCCAGGCACAGTTTGAAACGATGCACAGTTTTGCACGAGATGAGTCAACTTAGCAATAGAGAAGATGTAGCTTCAACGCTACATGACAGCTACAGGACATCAATTCAACAAAGGCTAAAAAGTGTGGTTATGGAATCCGATAATTCAGCGGAAAGGTTACAATTAGTTACAAGTTTATGCAGCATGTTTGCAAATAGCTCTGTTGCTGAATATTTTGTGCTAGGCACTTACTTTAATTTATATTGATATTCTAGACTCAGCTTTGCTGTGTGCAGCCAATAAATCAGATTTAGATTGAAACAGGAGTAGTGTAGTTGAAATTTAATTACATTTGTCTGCATATACTATTTTGCATTAAGTTACCCAGCCACAAGAGGTGGTTAAATTGTAAGCACCAAATGAGTGCATGTTCTCTTTAATTAAAATAAAAAGGTTGTTATAGCCTTTGTCGGCAGTCATCTGTTTTTTTCGAGACATGGCGAGAATTTGCTACTTCGTCTTCAGTAGGGTCTATATTTCATGCTTCCAAAAGTAATGATCTTTTGTATAATGTAATATAAAAGCTCTCGAGATAGCAAAGCACCAATAGAAAAATAAGTTTACAGGGAGGTAAATTGCTCTCTTGCTAAATTGGAGAAATAGCGATAAACTGGCAATAATTTTGTTGGCTAATTTTCCTCCCCAAATTTGGCAAGAAATTGCCCAAAATCGCTATGTAATTACAACTGTATCTGGCCCTATGTAAGTGTATATGCCTTCCAGTACTTTCGGGAAGTAGATGGTACTGGAAATTTTTCTGCAAAGGAAAAACTATATAAGACTAGAGAGAGCATCCATTCTGAGTTAGTAGTTCAGAATTTACTTTGGAGTATTGAGAGATCTCTGTTCAAGCATCAGTGTTTAGTAGTTTTAGTTCTGATTAGTTTGAAGTGGTAACTACTGATTGTAGTCTGTCGAATTGAGAAGAACTGTACAAGTACTTTTATAAACAGTTCTAGAGCTGCTAAGTGTTTCTTTTGGGAAAATAAACTTCATCAAGCTTATCATTAGTTCTGTGTGCATTCAAACTATTACAAATCTGCACACATATAACAATACTTTCCCCAGGCTGCAAGCAAGCATCCAAAGATAAGGTCACTGCTTGTTATTATATTGATTAGAGCAATTGGTATAGGCAGATTACACTGTTGCAAACAGGGAAACAGTTAACTTGAATAAAATAATTTTCACCATTTCAATTAATATACTGAGAGAAATTTTTTTCCATTCATTTCGTTGCTACTTTTCCCCCAGTTAGAATGATGTACATCACCTGCAATAGTAAAAAGTAAGCATTCTATAGAATATATACAGAACCTAAGCAGTATGTAGAATGCCTCGCATATTAGAGCAAAATATGAAATATCAGAATCATTTTCGTTTTACACATATACTCCTTAGGCATGGCATGTAATATACTTAGGCATTATACACCATGTCCATCCTTTATTTTTGCAACTGTTGGTCATAGAGATATACTTCTGATTACAAAAGTGTCTTGAATGACAAAAAGATTCTTATTGATATCTTTTAATTTTGTCAAAATAACAAATTAATTCAATTTAAGTTCTTTTCAAACCATTCATTTAGGTTTGATTTGATGATTAACCCTTTGAGGCGTGGGGATCGCACCTTGAAACTCCAATTTTTGAATATTTTTCCCCTCTTTTTTCTAAAATTTTTGAGTGAAAATCAATTCATTACTTATCTTTTACATATAAATAACACAAAATGGCTTCTGAATCCTACATGTTTTAGGTCTTACTACTTAATCGGATGCCTTTTAAAATTCGTTTTCAATGAGACTAAATAACATCACGTTTTCTATCATAAACAATAAAAGAATAGCAATAATTAAACGGCATATATAAAAAAACCCTATCTATATTTATGGCATTTGCTTTGTGGTTTCATGGCACAACCGCTGAGCCACTAGAGCATTACATCACAATGCTCACAATCCTCTAGAGGCTCAGTGATCGCACCTTGAAATCACTGCTCTTCACAATGCTTTTCAAATAAGAATGTTTATTTTTATAAGGATATAGATAAGGGGCTTTAAAACCACACAGTTATTTATTACTAAACAATACATGCACCTGCCCAGTGAAAAGGTCCATCTTTTCGAGAGATTTTTCTCTGACCTCAACACACGTGCTTCCGAGCTAGTATTGTGATTTTACAACTAATTTCATGTGGTTTAAATTTAATGTACAGTCAAAAGTCATTAATTCAGACACCCATAATCTGGAATGATCTATAATCCGGACCTCAAAGCTAAAATCTATCTGCGCATGCGCCGCATTGACGCACCTTTACGACTGCGCATATGTGTCTGCGCAAGCGCAGAATATGTTTTTGAGTGCGCGTTTAATGTATAACGGATGGTATAGCTAAAATTATCTAATTATCTATTTCAGTTAATGTTGATGATTGCGTTGTTCCTTAATCTTCGAATTGGATCCGGCTTATTATTTTTTGCAGACTGTAAGAGCAATTTTATAAAAGTAAGCTTGAACTTTCGATTAGGTCAAATAGAATTTCCGATGCTGGAGCTCCCAAAGGATCTAGAAAACGGAAGTATGTTTCGATGTCCATCAAACAAAAAGTGGAATTGCTACAAAAAATGGATAAAGGCATATCCTTTGTTTATCTATCCGTTCCGAAATCTGTTTATCAATTTCACGCTGCTCTGAGCGGGGGGGGGGGGGGGGGGGGCGTCGCGCAATGAACTGGAAGTTCATCTGTCAGCACTATCGTTATCTTCAGGGCAGATGTTTTTATTTTATTCGGCTTATAATTCCTTACTAAATGTAGTATTTCATCTCGATGTACTCCGTCTTTGATATGATTTAAATCAAATTCCTCATCATTATAAATATCACGAATACAAATCAAATAGTTTTCTGGTTGCAATTTTCTAATTTCGGCTATGCGTAATGTATGCTTTACGCATGCGCGCATTGAAAGAAATGTTTAATAAAGTAAACAAATAAATATTAAGCTTCTTTTTTAGTAAATTTTGATACCCTTTAGATCATAATTGCTCATTATTTTATAAATTACGGTTTCATATTTTAATTTTATAATTTCCGCATGCCATCTTACCAGATTTAAACTGATGATCTATAATCCGGAAAAATCGATAATCCGGAATCGCCGAAGTCCCGACGAGTCCGAATTAAAGACTTTTGACTGTAAATATACTTTGCCATAATTAAAAATAGAAATCACGTAAAAGTGTTATTTAAATTAAAAATATTTTTTTAATATTTTTTGAGGAAATGCGAATAAAATAAATATGAATGGAAAATGAATGATCCATACCAAAAAGACAAAGGCCCCCTCCCATTAACATAAAAAACCAAAAATTTCATATGCCAGATGAAAAGGAACTTAATAACGCTGGACATATAACAACGAAATTTAGATCCAGGCAGTGTACATTTTGTAGCACAAGAAAGAAACCTCATAGAACAAGATACATGTGTGAAACGTACAATGTGGGTCTATGTACGTACCAAAAAGACAAAACAAGCTTGGTTCTTTGGGGGGGGGGAACAGAAGAAGTTTGTTTTTTTTTTTTTTTTTGTTTTTCTTTTTTTTTAAATCGTTATTTTACCGAGTTTTTTCATCCATTTATCTGAACGTCCTTATTATGTAGGTACTTCTATTTTCACTGCTATAGAAAAATTACATAAATGTTTATTTTTTAATTTTTTTTATGATTTACTTTGTAAAATCATGTAAAAAATTTACATATAATGCAGCTCTCACATACATTTTTTTAAAATTCACAAATTTTGTCATTTATTAGAAACGCGCACAGAAAATGTAAGTTTGTTTTTCCTACCACCTCAGTTTCATAGTCCTAGATGTGCGCTGGTTTCACAGTGCGACCACCACCCCGAGAACAATGGGCAAGAGTAGTTTTTTTTAATTCATATATTTTTTGTCTCTAGGATCATAATATTCAATTTCTAGAGTTCTTAGTTAAAAAATTATATAAATAATATCGTGCGCATCAAAGGGTTAATAATATACTTTTAAACTTTGAAAACTTATAAATTACTTGTGCGAAAATTCTTTCAGCTTATGTAACAAAATTATGAATTGAAGATGCTAGTAAATCACAAAATATCATTGGATGAAGTTTAAGAAGGAAAAAATTAACCTTGAATCATTCTAATCTATTTACCAACTGATTGCTCAATGCAAATTGAAAATGACAACAGACAAGGCAAACTGTGAAATTAAATATCTTGATTAATTTTTGATCCATGTAAGTCAAATTTTGTGAGTTTTATTTTTTATAAGGAGTATAACATTTTTTTAAATACAAGTACAGAGATTGCAGGAATGTATAAAAATTTAGTTCACATAATTGTTACAAAATTGATTTCTTTAAATGTAAAAATGCCAAAACATGAATCTACATCATTTAAAACATTTTTATAATTGGAAGTATATGTCTAGGACCAAAAGTTAACCAACTAAAATAAAAGCAGGGTTAGAACTTTCTAGACATGGAGCAGAATGACAAATACTATTTGGGCAAATTATTAAAAGAAAGTCATGAAAAGGTTTCTATTTAAAAGACATGTATTCTAAAGAATGAGAAATGCTCCTTAGGTATAATAATAATAATAATAATAATAATAAAAGAGTTTTGAAAAGGCTTTTATTAAAAAGATTAAAGTATGAGATTTTGTTATAGTAGAAAATTGGAGAAAATAATATATGAACATACATATTATAATAAGGAAGGAAATCAAATTACATAGATTGTCTAAGAAACGTGTGAAATATTAATCTCTTCATATACCCAGTTTTCGGAATTTTATACATTGCCAAAGCATTCTATATCATGCCTGCTTCATACATAACACTGATTTGTAACATTGACAGTATACCATTAAGAAAATTTATTTTGACACATATATTTTAAGCAAAACAAAAAGAAAAAGAAACATTTTAATATGTAATAAAACACTGATTATAATTCTTCATTAATATAACTTGCATCACTAAAATTCATAAGTTGACATTTGGCATTATCACTCTTTTAATTACACTGGTGAACAATTGCTAAGGACTGATGACAGTGGCAATGATGGCAATCACAAAATGGAAAGTAGGAGAATCTGGAAATTAGCATAAGTGCAGAATACAGTAAGATATGTGTGTGTGAGCAAATTTTGGATTCTTGAAATCGTTCACAGCAATGATAAGCGATATAAAGGTTTTGACGGTTACTGATCGTTGTTGTTCAAAAGCAAAATTTAACAGGAGAGAATGAATTCACAAACTTGCAATTTTTGGTATGTCTTCCTAACATCATAGATAATTTTATGCACGGGCATATTATTGGCAAGATTGAAATAGGGCAAAAAATAACAGATGTTGCTAGAGTTTGACGTCAGCCACAGTGTTGCTTCTTTGGAAATCATTTCACACAAATAGAATGTGTAGAAAACGTCACGAGGAACGTTGCATTTGCAGTATGACACCTGCAGAAGATAGATCTATAGTGCTACTGACAAAAAGGAACCGGAAGAGCACAGCTACTGAGGTAGGAAATCAGTTACTTGCTGATACTGGCAAACAAATCTCAGGAAAAACTGTAGACAGACATCTGCGTCAAGAAGGACTATGTACCCACATTCATATCGAGTGCATTCCGTTATCTAGAAGTAACCATTCAGATCATTTGCAATGCTGTAGTCTGCATTGCAACCAGAAGGAAGATGACAGGGCTTGTGTAGTATTCTCAGATGAAATTAAATTCAGTCTTTCATTTAATTATGCATGACAACTGATGTGGCATTACAGTGGTACTGCATATACTCCAGCAAACATATAGAAAAGAGATAAGTATCTTACATTTAATGTCATGGCATGAACTGGGATCATGATTGATGCCCATACGTTGCAATATGTGCTTCCATGTGAGACTATGACTGGCCAACGATACATTATTGATGTTCTGCTACCTCATGTTTGCATGTTCCATGATTCTGTCAGTGATAAATTTATTTTCATGGATGACAATGCACCATGCCATAGAACAGTCACTGTCCAGGAGTGTCTAGAGAGCAAGGATATTCAACACCTCATTTGCCAGGCACGTTCTCCAGATTTGAATCCTATTGAAAATCTCTAGGATGCTTTGGGGAGGAGTCTTGCTGGTCGACAATGCCCTCCAATAAACAACTACATCCTTCCTACGTGCACTGACAGAGGATTGTAATAAATTACTCCAGCAGCTGCTAGATAATGTTGTGCGAAGCATGACACAACAGATGGAATCTTGCCTCACCCTCTATGGTCACTATATCCCGTTTTGATATCTTAAGCCAAAATGCCTATGGACGGTAATTGCATTTTTTTCACCCTTATATATTCTGCACAAAATGACCATTTTGTCTGTTAAACACTTTTCAAAGCCTTCTGGATTTCAGAGTACAATAAATTATCTTTATTGCTATGCCCTAATATTCTGGAATTATTTTATTTCACTTGGCATCCAACTACACTTACTTTTTGACAAGCCATATATAGCCATCTGTGATCCATTCTTAGCAATTGTTCACCAGTGTAAAAGTAGCTTACCTAATGTAATAGCCCATTAATATTCCCTGATAGTCTGCAATAAGAAATTCGTAAGACCTAAAAATAAATAATAATTTACTATTATAAATGTATAAATTGGAAATTGCTAATGAACTACATTTACAAGGAATTAGACACATATTAACAAATGAAATAAATATATATATTAAGAAAAACAAACAATCTTTTACACCACAATGCTGTAAAATAAATTTAAATAGATCAATTATTTCAAACACAGCCTTCCAAAATCATAAAATTACACGTTGCTAACATAATTTTATTGTTATTTTACTATTATTTATCATAGAATTGCTGTTTGTGACCTTATATGTGTGCGTTATTATAAAATAGTTGCATATATACTTTCAGACCTTGCTTTGATAATACGTAGGTCAATCCAGAAATAAGGTTCCAAAATGCTTCAGCCACATGGGATGCTGCGAGGCAAAATCCAGCAACACCGCTGTTTACCCACTCTCGATTCTGCCCGGCTGCATTTTGCTGTGCCACTCAGTCTTGGCTCAGCAGCCGTTCAAGATGGAAGTGCCCATTGTTGCTCCCGCCAAGTGTGAGATTTGTACCATAATTCCCTTTTTCCATGCCAAAGGGACTTTACCCATGGATATTCATCATCAGTTGACAGAAGTATACGGTGACAAGTGTATGTCCGTTCAACACGCCTGAAAGTGGTGCAGGGAATTTAGTGCGGTCAGAAGGATGCCCACGATGAAGAACGGAGTGGAAGTCAGTCAGTTTTGGAGATAATTATCGAGATAGTCCAACGAGAAGTGACATTTACAACAAAAGTTATCTCTTCGACGAGTCTAAAGCTGATCTCGAACTAAATAAAACAGTGATAAGAAGAACAGATTTGGTTTGATAAGCCTTAATGTCTGCTGTGGTCTTAAACAAAGTTTGTACCCTCTGTTAAGATAAATGAAATTAAGGAGTTTGATAAAAGCTTATGTTTCAGCCAGATCAAGGTGACTGGTAATTTTGTGTTGTATAATTTTAATTTAACACTTACAAGGGGTGAGGTAGAATAAATTTAAAGTTAAATAATTTGTGTCGCTATTTATTTTACGAATTTAGAAATTCTAGTGAGAGAATTCACTAGCAGAATTGATGTAGCCCCTCAGTCTGATTGTATGTGAGCTAGTGCAGTTGAATCCAAGACAGGTGTTACAAACCTTTTCACTCAAAAGTTCTCGGGACAATAATTATTCATCTTGCACTAATATTTATTGAATTTTGCATCAGGTGTTTACTAGGTTTGCTGAGAAATGAAGTGAAAGCAACCCAAGCAAACTCAGTCCTACTGAAGAAATAAAAGGTTTGATTTAGTTTGGTTTCTTTAATTACAGCAAAATATTTCAGGGCTATCTGCCTAAGTGACAGATGACTTCGTGGAGTACTTTTTAAGGGAAACTGGCTTACATCCATGTTACGCATTAGGAAAAATATGAAAATGTCCATTCAGCCAGCCCATTTGCCGGAAATGAACACAGCTTTTATTTTTTAGATCTTATCAGTAGCTGAGTGGTAAAGTGTTCAGCGACTTTACCATTTAACTGCTGATAAGATCTAAAAAATAAAAGGCACACATGCACAAAATGTTCTATATTGACATGCTGTAGCCACATTTAATCATATGTAGGAGTTTCCACATTTCAACAACCTGTCTGCTTCATCAGCTGGAGCTGGAATGAGTTCTTGCATTTCAGATATCTATCCTGATATACAATGAAGACCTTAGTACATTCGTACAACATTTAGAAAACAATCAATATCGTTCTACAAACTCTCTGCTAAGCAGTATATCAACAAAAATAGCACATCTTTAGTGAAACATCCTTAGAGCATATATACTCAATAACTAAATGGGAGAAAGCTAAAATCATCCCCAAACTCTGGCATAAAAGCAGCCTCAAAGTGTCAGAAAAACAGTAGAAATCGACACTAGTGTAATTTTTTTCCATTCTACTATATATCTGACAATGATTCTGAGTGTAGCAATCGTGCAGAAAGCAATAAAAAATGGGGAAACAGAGGAAATCGAGCCATTCATTTCAGCTACAGCTGCCAAAGTAGTTGGGTTCCCTGCTAAATGTCCTACCTTATGTTTAAACATGGCTTCATGTCAACCTAGAACATCTTATTTTTTTTTAACTATTTCCTAGCACATGTTATTTTGCCAAAAGATCACAAATGTTTTGTAGTTCTTACACAATGAAACTGTACAATGAAAATGCAATCTCATTCTAATGTTTTGCTGATCAGCCAGCAAAGTGTGAAAATGAGAGCTTGTAACTGGTCCAGGAGAACCATGAACTTGATTTAGTGGTGTGCAGCGGTGATTTGATTCAGTGGTGTTCAGTGCTTCTAGCCATTTAGCTTTGTTGTACAAACCAGAGCCTTGGCTGCGCATTAAATTACCCTGCGAGTCATTAGTCTAATCTACCACATTTTGAATTTGTCCATCATTACGTATTTCTGTTAAGCCAGAAGTGCTTGGGAAATTGTTAAGCTTCTGCTCGAATAAAAGGGTCTTATACGTTCTTCTTCTGAGTTTTGTTTTGTTTCATAAGGCTAGAAGACAATTCTTCAATAGTCTTTTTAAAGTCCATAGTGTATGCTCCTTAAGATAACTAGACTTAATAACATGTTTCTTATTCAGCAGAAATCACATGAAAGCACAGACAAGCTCTGGATAATAATAATTTAAATAAATAATAAATAATTTAATAAAAATATAGATGATAATATGGCAGGAAAAAATCAGTAATATAAAAAAATGCATAAGAATAATATAAATATAATTCACCTAAAATATAAAAGAATAATAAAAGTAAATTCAAAAAATCATATTTAGATATATTAAAGTAACATCTGAATAAAATTTGTTCAAACAGTGTACACAATCATGGCATAACACCCATATAAATGAAATTTTATTAAATAATTCTGCAGTAAAATTAAATAATTTTATTAACACTATTTGAATAAATTTTGTTTGGGTTTGAGTTATCTGTATCTGAGTATGATTTAATTTCTTTTTAAGTTTCATTTTGATTTTGATTTTAGATTATATTACCACTAAATTACAGTAGGTTTCAGCAATTTAACTATTTAATTAATATTCAGTTTATTTATTATTGTTTATTAGAATTTTTTAAATTTTAATTTATAATAGGTATAAAAACCCCTAATATTAGGAAGTTTAAAATTTACCATTGTGTATTCTTAATACGAACATCGCAGAATGCCATACCAGCTGCAGCCAACCGAAAATCAGGCTTTCCATTTCCTATGGCAGGTTCTTTCTGAAAGAAGAATTAGAGACTTATTTACATAACATGCTAAATAAATAAAACTTTCAGATTTCCGTTTGAAAATATACATATGATTTTGGCAGAAAATGTTTTTCTACTTCCAAAAAAGTTTATTCATACACAATAAGACAAAAAATAATTTTCATTTATGCCACAGTTTAATTTCTAAAATTAGAAGTGCCGAAGCCCTATCGAAAACTGTGAGGAACGAAGGGGAAAAAATCAATTAATAAAATTAATACAAATTAAAATAAATATATAATTAAATTTTAATTAAAAAATGTAAAGAGATAAATGGAAATATAATAAATTAGTAAATTAATTTTAAAAAGTGAAATATAAAAATTATCGGACCTTGTTTTAGTTGGGGCTCCAGCTGAAATTAAAATTCCATTCCAAAGAAGCAGTTCAGATGGTCTTCATCTGAATTTAAGCTCTAATTAAAGCGTCACTAAGGAGACTAGTGAGAATTCTGGAAGCACTATGAGGATATGGAAGGAAGTTTTAATGGAAAAGTACAGCTTTGAAAAAAAATTCTGCCTTTTCTTTTTCCCTCTTATAAAACTTCTTACATTATTTCATGAACAGCAACAAAGAGATGACATTAATACAATGCTGAACATGTCTTGTTATCTTCATTTAAAAGAATCTTCCATTATTTATAAACTTAATTATTTATATTTAACCATTAATTAAGTATTAATTATTTGAATAATATTTATTAATTACCATTAATAATTTAAAATTATCATTATTATTAATTAGTACATTTAGTTATAATTAGTTGTTTTCAATAATTTGATAACTTATAATATTGTTGCATTCTACGGGTTCGCGGATCTGAAGTGATTGATGACAACACTTGATGTAGTATCAAAATACAATTTATTCGTCAGTATTACACTGGACCATTTTAAAGATACAATACAGTCAAAAAAACTACGATAAACATGCTGGAACAATCAGCAATACAGCCTTTAGGCTATATCGGTGAAGACAGCTTCACGGCAAAGCACTGAAGTACAGCTTCCGACTTGGTCGATTGGTCTCAAGCTAATCTCTGAGCTTAATACATGCTACACTACAACATTATTTCTTTATTTATTTTATATTTTTTATTTATTTTATCAGTTTAAATGGCATATTTCTAGGAAATGATGATGAGTACTTTTGTAGTTAGAAGAAAAGCGATCTAAGTAACTCTCCCTCAAAATTTATAGAACTTTTCTGCAAAACAAGCATATACCTAAGATTGAATTTTGTCTATTTTAAATCAAGACAAAATTATAACAAAGCAAAAACACACCCATGGTAATATATAATAACATTAAAACTTTCCATAATTCTAACCTAAATTGTCATTAAACTTTCACGTACTTTTTCAAATCAAATTAAATTTACTGATCAGAAATTTTTCCTAGCAATGGTAATTCAAAGAGTTTGAAAAATGTTGGCTAGAATATATATATACTTTGTTTTACATCTATAAAGGTTAGTTTGTAGTAGCAGAAATATAAAAGTACTCTAAAATGCATATTTTAAAACATTTTTTGTCAAATCATTACTTTTTACTTACTTAATTTTTAGTTTTCCCACTGTCTTTCAAAAATAAATAAATAAATAAATAAAACTGCACTTTGCAAAAACAGTGCTACAAAATTAGACCTGTGTCAGTCAAATAACTGGACTGGACTAATAATATTGCATGGGGTAGCTGCTTGGTGATAGCGATAAGGAGCATGCCTTACACCCATGTTCCTGCCAATAAATACAGCAACCCTACACAAAGACCGGCTGTCAAAACATAGTATTTGTGTTTGAAGTCTTAAAATAAATTTTCATTGTGTACTTAGTCTGATTAAAGTTCTTGATGCATGCAATGAGAATATTTAATGTGATTTGGGCAATGAAGATCGACTGCATACCACATTGCATAAAAATGTTAAGATTTGTCTCTGGCCGATATTCCTAGAACATGTAAAATATATGTTCTAGGAATTGCACTAGAGCTCAATTCCCGGAACTTACTCATTATATTTAAACAACAACAATTTATACATTTATATTTAAAAGATATGAATTACTCATAAATTAGTAATAGTTGTCAGGTTGATGGTGATACTAAGCATTTTGTGGTTGATTGTAGTTTAACAGCCCCTATTAGACAAATTTTTAACATTACTGATTTTAATGTAAGTGTCATTAATTTTAAAGTTTTTAAATCATATTCTATTGCTCTAATGAGGTTTATGAATGAAAATAGGGTGCTAGTAGGAATCTTCTGTTAAAATCGAATTTTGTATTTATATGGGTTTTAGATATCTGTCGTGTTCTATGTTGTGAATTTGTGTTTATGGATTTTTGTTTGTTTGTTTGTTTGTTAGTCTGTAATTTTGTATTAGATGTGCTTATTTAGCTTTGATTTAGTATTTTTGTTTGTTGTTTGGGGGTGGCTGGGTTACTGGCTGCCCTCGTTTGTGGAGATACGGGGCCCCTTCTTTTGAGCTATGGGGACACTCGTGTCCAGGTGGGCTGAAGGGAGCCTCCAATTCTTACAATTCTTACCTAGAGTGGTAACAATTTATTTTAAATTTGGTTTGGGCAACAATAAAATGTTAGTTATGTTATTAATTGCTTTTATCAAGATGCAAGTAAGTAATCACCCCAAAATGAAAGTATGAAAAAGTTCTGTTATTAAGACAGAAATATTGCAAATGTTAAATTAATTAATGTCAAACAGGTCTATTTTTATTATTTAGCTTAATGTCAGCAATAAGTTGATTCCTTTTAAATAAGGCAAAATAGTAAGAAATATTTTACTATTTATATATAGTATTTGTTTAAAATAGTAAATTTTAAATAAGGAAAAATAGTAAGAACTATTTGTCAAAGAATTAATAAGATGAACACCTCACAGAGATATCTAGATACAATATGGTCAGATCCAAAATACCATCATGATCTTCCAGAGAGATTATATGACTTTTCAGAACTTTTTAAGGAAAATAGATTCATATTTATAATACAATTTATTTTATAATTCATTTTCAAATATACTTACAATTAATAATTACAATTTTCAAATAATATTATAATTAATTTTCAACACAAATGTAAAATTTTTCAAAAGTAGCATTGATTTTTTAATACTATATTTTAAATAATGGCATAAGATCAAAAAATTGGGCATTAAAAATAAAACTAAATTACTTACAGATTCGATGGTAAACATATATGCGCCAATCAAATCGTAAAAATCTACATTCCCATTACTGTATGCTAAGGCAAGCATAGTGCAATCAGGTGACCATAAAATTCTTCTCCATTGGGGATATGGATCTTTACTAACTAATGGAATAGAGAAGCATATGAAAACAAAACAACAACCAAAAAAAAAAAAAAAAAAAAGATAATAATAAAAAAAAAAAAAAAAGGAAAGAGCTCTAGATTCAAATGTAGAGTTAGTGTTATAGGAATGTCATTTCAAAAGTTTTCTGCTCAGTCGTACCTCACAGTAAGATAATCCTTGTATCAAGCTTGTATCAGACAAGTGAAATTTAGAAATCTATGAAAAATTTGAAGGAATCCATAATTCATTACATTGAAATTGTAATGAATTATGCAATGGAAAATGTATTATTGTAATTATGTATTATCGTAATGAAAATGGGCCACTTATACATTCACTCACTTCCTTGACAGCCATAATGGAATTTAGTACTTAGAATATTCACAAGAATACAAAAAGCATGAATGATTTGCATGAAATCTTTAATGTATAAGAATAGTAATGATAATTGGTCAGCTTTAAATTAAGCTGCTATACTGTTTTATACACGTCTCCTCCTTGACTAGCTATAAAAATTTATCAATGATTAATCAAATCATCCCCATACTATAATAGCACTGAAATTCTTAACCCTATCCACTCCTAAGTTTCTGGAACTGATTAAGAATTTGTAATAATTCAAGAAACTTTACATATGCATGGGTTAACTTCCAAGGTTTCTTCTCTCCCAGCCCCACAAACTTCCAACATTCCTCTACTCTGAAATCTCACAAAAAAAAATGTTTGCGACTGAGCGATGGAGCATTCCATTTCACAAACCCAGACATATGCACATGGTTTGAATTGATCTGATGCTGGCACAATTTGTATAATATCAATCACGACTCTAGCATAATTCTAAGCTTTGATCTTTAACCTTTTACTCAGCTGCATGGAATGGCAACAGCTTGGTATTTTGAGTCCCAATATTTGCTACATTCATAACTTCAAAAAAAGAAAATCAGTATTAATTTTGGGAAATCCATAATAGTTGGCATTTCTGAGGATATTGGAAATTTCCAAACCCATCAATTATTTGGCCATCTCATAACTGACAGCATTGCGCAGGGAGTGTCACAAGGGAGTGAACGATTATTACATTTGTATGATTACAAACACCCATGCCTTCAGGATTTCAATTCAGTACTAACACTGACAAAACTGATATTGCTAATCATTCAAGAATAAGAAGAATAGGTGGCTTAATCAGAACAACACATCACTATTTTTGTCTCTGGGAAAACTCCAAACAAAATGCACATGTTTTGTAACTTTTGGAAAGATCTGTCTTTAAACTTTTGTAGCAAAAGGGCCAAGTTTGTGGACAAATGACTCTTAAATGAAAAAGATTACAGGATTTTAAAGCACTTTTTGATTAATTGGGTGCCACTTGTCACCAAAAGTAAATGCTGGCACAAAATCTGTCTGGACTAGTATTTTTAAATAATATATAGCTTCAGGAAAAGAATAACTGTTTTAATAAATCCAAAATTATTAATTAAAAAATATTCATAAATAAAATGCTCATATTTACTTCAATTGAGAGTTGTATACTGATTCACTCCTAATTGCAAATGACAGAATTCTGCCAATGTGATTTCTTGACACCAGTAAATAAACATAATAACAGTAAACAAATAATTTTCATGGTCATAACAGTAGCAACTGCAATGTAAATCTTAATCTCATAGCATAATCTTTCATTACAACACTGTTTTGATATTTTGGCATAAATGCTATTTAAATGCCAGACAGTCATAACTTAATTTATTTATCGAGAATGGTGAATATCCATGAGTCATTTAAGAAGTTCATCTCTGAGAACATAGCTGAAAGTGCACCATAGGAAATGACCAATATTCCACAGAGGAGAACGAGTTCCATCCAAACTTTGATGAAGAACACTTCAACTACCACCAAACCACTGAAAAGAACTTTCCACTCGGCAGTATTTTAAGTATCCCCATGCTACAGGCACTGCGTAACATTTGAGGAATCTTTCTATCTGATTACCTAAATCAAATGAAAAGTTACCTTAAAGCTATGATGCAAGTTGCCCCACATGGCTAAACTAACTGTATAAACACATACATACAAGCAAATGATAATTTATTCTACCTCACTTCTTGTGAGTGCTAAATTAAAATACTATAAAATGAAAACTAAGTCTCCTGAAAAGTGCTGCAACTAAAATTAGAACTTAAAATTCAACTGCATAAAGCACTTCTCACTTGAAGCTACTACATATTCATGTTGAGCAAACTAACCTAAATCAAGAAGAGCTTATCACTTGGATTAAATGTCCAATGAAAAATTTCAATCAAGCAGCAGCTTTCTGGACACAAGGCAAACAAGGCAGCTGTTATACACCTAAATTTCGGCCTACTACAAGTCGTGCTACTACATCTTTTATCTCAGTTCCTATCATGCCACATGACGATCAAATCTACATTAACCCTTTTACGACGGGTGTTTCATATATGCAACAGTATTTAAAAATCCTCCTATGCAAATGCATACCGCTTTGTGCAACTCACCTTGGAGATGATATGTTGTTGCAGTAGTTCGATCTTGCAGGATGGGGTATTTCCTGTCACTAAGAATAACTTTAAAAAAATTCATTAAAAATTATTTTTTAACCCAACTGTCTTTTTTTTTTTTTTTTTTTTTTTTTTTTTTTTTGTAATGGTTTCTAACAGTAATACAATGATAAACAAAAAATATGAAGAGATTCTGAAAAAAATTTAATTAAAATCTAAATGCAAAATAAAATATTTGACTCATCTTGATGAAATTTTGTAGAAAACTTACATCTATATCTAAACATATGTAAAATATGATTACTTTATTATATTTTAGGCTACAGGAGTATGTTGATTTTAGATAAAGATGGATTTTCACTCATCTGTTGTTCATATAAATTATTAGTTTCTTCAACTATTATGTTCATTAGATCATTATCGAAAAAAAATGGTGAAAAAGTCAATTTCGTTCCATAACTTTGAATTAAATTTACTTTGGCAATTTTCATAAATTCATAAGGCTTCTAAGATCGAATTCACGATGCAGCATCCACTGTCATACTAGATTGTGAAATAAAAGCAAAATAAGCTTCCGGTTCAGACTCAGACAAAATTTAAGTATCAAAATCTCTATCCTCACTTAAATCTTTTTCGGTGTCAAAATAGTCACTCATAGGCTCATTTATAATTCAAATATACTCTTCTTCCATTGAAAATTTCTTTCTATTAGATATTGCACTATTAGTTGATTCCTCTTAACTGGAGCAAAAAACTTATTTTTGCTACCTAAAGAAGATGCAAACTGAATACAAATGGGAGTTCCTAAAACCACAGCTTTACTCCCAGTCTTCCTATAGGTAAAAAAAAAAAAAAAAAAATTGAAGCCTTGGGAGTTGTTTTGTTTACCTTATATCTTCTGCTCATACACATAAATGAATCACCACAATCAGAAAGTATTCATAAACACAAGGTCAACAATGTATATGTTTAAATAAGCTACCTGTAGTGAACACGAAGCACCATCCAGCGATTTAAAAAAATTATAAAATAATGTGTAAGTTAGAAAATGCATATACGATACACTCGTCTAGAAGATCAATGCAAGCAGTGATGCATCAGTGCATCACCCGGCTGCTATTGATATATGGGAGTGATGCAGATATGATACACACGTCTTCAGAGGATTTTCAGTTCAGCAGCATGCTGTCACGAAGGGGTTAATCTCTGGACTGAGCAAGTGAGAAACAAGGCCTAAAGGAAATATTAAAATAAACCTGTAAATTGTAGTTAAAATTCGAATGAAATACCACAACTATACACATTCAAATTTTCATCTGGATTCGAACTCAAGCCCAATTATGTGGCAACCAACAGCACTAACGACTATACTGATCAGGAAGGTTGACAGAAATAAAACACAGTTTTATTTTTGCTTGGATGACACATTTGTTCTGTAAGAATTTAAAACCAAATCATATAATCCTCACTCTTTCTTTTAAGGGGGGTACACTTCAATGAAAAAACCAACTGAAGAGAAAGAATTACTGGATCGAAGTTCATTTTTCTTGCTGATTATAATGACATCAATATATAACAACTCGTATGATTCGCAAACATGTTGCTATAAATACAATTTTGTTACACAATTACAACTGACTAAAAAGTAGATAGTTTAACTGACTGTTTAACATGTACTGGAAATGTGCACTAAGAGGAAAAGACACCAACAACACAACACACTAATGGCATCATTTTTCTTTTAATACTACAATATACAGAAAACTTCTGAAATAGCCCTCCTATATAAATGATAAAAAGGAAAGAAGAAAGTACCTTGGGTTCGCCCAATAACAGCTCCATATTCATCACGTGATGTTCTAGAAAGAATAATAATTTTAATCAAGATTTTATAAATAAATATTCAAGTATAAGAGCAGCTAAAATTGCAGAATGTCCTTTATGTATAAATATATATCAGTTTTTTTCAGTATGATATAAAAGGATTTTACAGAAGAAATAAATTGGTTAAGAATTGCTCTGATAATAGTTCAATAGCAAGTGTTTTTAGTTTCAAAGAAAGAAAAAAAAAAAAAAAATTATAAACTGCTAGCCATTTAAAATGCAACACATGAAGGAAGCATCCAAATAGCACAAAATTTACATCATGTGCATACCATGATAAAATATGCAAATGATTACAATTTGAGTGCATGTGCATATCATGGGTGACTGCAGCACTCCTTAAAACCAATATACAAAGAAACGACTGCAATTTTGAATAATGTGAATTGTTCTCTTGTGAAATTGTGTCTGCAGCATTGGTATGCCTCATCGAAAAATATGAATATCATTTGAGCACGCTTCCAAGTTCAACTGAGACACAATCGTTGCATACAGAGATTGCTAATTATCCTTCCAAGAAATCGGTCAATCATATCTGATGTAGCCATGCGACAGTTATGCGAATATGGAATCAGTGGATGCAGCAGAAAATAACTAATGGATAGCAGCAATTGCAACCATTTCATTGCACTAGCCCATGGAAACACAGGCATATTGTGCACACGGTACTGAAGAACTTCACTGCCACATCCACAACCATATTGCAACAAATGCAGTCTGTAACACAACAGTTGATATACACATGAACAATTTGACATCATTTACAGTACAATGGACTGCACGCTTGGCACCAACTGCTTTGCTTACTTTTAACATTAAAACACATGTGTCTGCATTTGCTATGGTGCACTGAATTGTGGAGATGGACACCTGAATGGTCTGACATAGTGTTTTCAGGCGAATCACACTTCTGCCTTCAGTACCACGATGGTCGGATTAGAGTTTGGAGACACTCAGGAGAGAGACTGTTCAACTGTTATGTAATGCATTGTCATATTGGCCCCGCACCAGGACAGAGACTGCTCAACTCTTATGTTATGCATTGTCATATTGGTCCTGCACCAGGTATTATAGTGTGGGGTGGTATTGGATTCCACTCCCGCACCACAATAGTACACTTTATCGGTACACTTACTGGCCACTCTGAGGCTTTGCAGCCTGTTCTCCTTACTTACCTTCAGAGTTTGCCTGCAGACACATTTCATCAGGACAATGCCTGATCACATATTGTACACCATGTTCAAGCTTTCTTCTTAGTCCACCATATTGCACTGTTACTCTAGATCTATCAGCCATCAAACATGTCTCGTCAATGACTGGAGAACACTTAGTCCGGCATGCCGCATCCTCAGGTACAGCATTGGCTACATGTGGAGGCAGTATCAGCTGCCATTCCCCAACAACACATCCAAAACCTTTTCATTCAATGCCATGGTATGTAGAAGTGGTTATTGACAAACATGAAGACAACACTCATTACTGATTTTCTCATCTTCCTCACCTCAAAGAGGGCTTATTTCAAATTAATTAGTATTGGTACTATGAATCATGTTCGAAATAAATTTGGTTTTGATATATCTCATTCTTTTTTGTGATACATTTTTTGGATAGAAAGCAGCATATATTGCCCCCCAAACCCCCTCCTAAAATCAGTATTTTTAATTTCAAAGACAATGATAAAGAATATATACAGGGACATACTAAAGTTCTTAAACACTGAAATAGCTTCTGAATACAGAAAATTAGAGTTGTGAATTTGCACAAAGTGGTAATGCTCTATCATAAAAGCCACTTTAGTGAAGATAGATAAATCTGGCCAATTTGTATAACCAGTTCTTAAAATGTACAAGAAGGCTACATAAAGCATTAACATCAACATACTAGGACGCATATAATATATACCCAAAACCGAATAGATTTTATTTACAGGGACATGAAACTAAAATAAATTGCATAGGATCATCTGCATTTCTTCCTTTTATATTAAAAAACAATTTGGATATTCCTTTCTGGAAAATACATCACATTTAGCAATGTATATATTCTAAATGATCGCATATATGAATTATAATTTTTTTAGTAACTCAAGTTACTGAAATCATTTTTCCAGTAAACAAAGCCATAACTGATTTTTGGGGTACTCCAAATAATCTAAAAATATTTTTAATGTTTTTCTCATAAAAAAGTATCCTTTTAGTACTTTAGATCTTATGAATCAGTGTTAGTTCAAATATTTCAAACAATTCAACTAATGGTAGTAAAGAATACACTTCTATACAACCCCCCCCCAAAAAAAAACAACATGCAAAGAACACATGACTTTTTTGTATGGAATATTAAATTATAAGCATTTTTTGCTGCATTTCATTAAAATTTATTTCCTTGAATTTCATTACAGATAGATTTCTCATTCAATTAATTCAGTTCTCACTTTACGGCAAGCCAAAATTCATAAAACCTCAAAATATCTTCATTAAAAATTGAAAAATATAGAAAACATTAAACACCAAATACAGTTAAAACAATTTTAAAAAATTTTCTAGAATTAAAATTGGAAATTCTATGTAAACACAGGCAATGTGGTCAGCAGGCAATAAGGTGGATTTTTCAATACACAAAACTGAAAATTTACTTTTGGTCACACTCGGCAAAAAAAATAAAAAAAATAAATAAATAAATAATAATAATAAAAAAACACTATGCTATAGTAAACAAAAATTGGGTTTAGCCAAACTTAAACAACTTTTAAATTGTTGATAATTCTACAACTATCGCATGCAGATTAAATAAGGCATAAAAACCTTAACTGGAAGATTAAAAACAATATAATTCAATCATTTTTAAAGCAAAAAATGCACAATTTACCAACATACAAGAGTTTTTTAAAAAAAAAACTGAGCTCATCGTTCCAAGTAACAGGGTGGTTATATATTTATACACTTTTGGCACAGCCGATTGCAACCAAAAAGGGAGCTTCACAACTACATGTTATAGCTGTCCTATATACAAAATTTGAATATTCTCATGCTACTCATTTTTGAGTTATGTGATTACATACAGATGTGACAAAAAATCTCTTCTGAATCCATATTTAATAATTTTATAATCCATTTTGGGAAAAAGAGTGATTTATTCTGCCCTTATGTACAGACGTCACAGAAAAACATAATTTAGATTATATACTAATTCTTAATAATTAATATACTAATTCTTAATACGTATTAATGTAAAGAATATCACATTAATAGAAATAAATTAAACATGCAAAATTACACATACAAAATTTTAGAGAAAATTATGCAACAACTATCTGCAGGTAATTAAATTCCAATTTAAAAATTCTGCTGCATGTGGAATAATTCAATGAGGCAATGAGGAATAATGCAATGAGGATCGACACACAGGACAAGAACAGCTTTTTTCTGCGAAACTCAAGCAAGTAAGACACATCACGTATTGGGAAAGCTGATGTCTTTCCCCTTCTGTAATAATGTTGTAATGTTAATCTTTAATTAACTCAGAAAGCCTATGTTAAGTTTAAAAATAGATATAAAAAAGTGCAACTGGTGGGAGTTTTTCCATCATGGAAGTTTGGTGACATTATACATGCTATAATCAACTAAATGTGTTTTCCTGCATTCGAATCACAAAAAAAGCAAATGACATGAATGAGAATTTAAGCTGGATGCACTTTCCCACATTATAATAGCGAAAAAAATCGAAGAACAAAAATGAAAGTAGAAAAAAAAAGAGAGAGAGAGAAGGGGGAGAAAGAAATTTCTAATGAAATAAACAAAAATGCCCGTATCCCATTAACCAGAAGCACAAAACAGAAATTGGTGCCCATATATCAAGGTAAAAGCCATATGACTCAACCAATGTGAAAACTACTACCATTTAACGCCATCTACTGGCATTTAAAAATTCAAATAAATCATTCTGTTTTCAAATTACGCATACATGATGCTGGGCTAAAGAGACTGATCAAAGTTTATCGTGCAGAAGTGACACTGAGCTGGTAAGAGTGGAATCATTGCGTCATGCCTGCAGGATGTTGGTCAAAAACGGGTTAAATTTCTTAAACCAATTTCGAACTGTGCCATTAGAAACAGCACTTTCTCCATATACAATGAAAATTTTATGAGCAGTCTAATTATAGCCCTTTTTCTTTTTTAAAATAAAAGAACATAACATGATGAAAATGAACTTCTGGGTGTTCCATTCTTACCATTAATACTGATACAAAAATTATGCCACAATACATGCTAAAATTATGCAATGTGTGTAGGTCATTACCACTATTAAAAAAAATAACAAAGAATTTGTGCTTCTATTTGAAAAAAAAAATCGCAACAAAATCTAGAACGCTTCTTTTAAAAACACCCAGAATTTTCTGGATGACTCAATATTTAGTTACTTTTTACTTAAAAAGAAAATGAACTAAAATTTACACATACACAAAAAAAATTTACAAATTTCCTTTTTCCACTTATGTTAACCCTCTCGCTGTGCATCCCACGATTTCCACGGGCAACGTAGAAGTAGCAAAACTTGCACAACCCACGATTTCCGCGGGGATGAACTTTTGTCGTCTATTTAATTGTGCAACCCACTCTTTCCCTTTTCCAGGTTTCCTTTCGGCTTTTCTGTGATGTTTAATTGTTTATTTATATGTGGGCTAACAGATGGCGTTAGTTGTCCACATTTCTGCCAAATATACAAGAATACGTAATGTAGCATTTTGCACGTGCTTTTCAGAGCTCAAAGATATCTGGCAGGAAGCGTTTCGCGAGTGATATAATCTATATTCCTGACGATATTTCCGACACTGATAGTAGCTCTGACTCTGATTTCAAGTATATTGAAGATAGATATAGCGAAACTGATGAGAATTCCTCGGATTCCTTTGCAGATAGTGATGAATCTGAAAATGCAGTTTCTATTAAAAACGTTCGACAGTGGTACAAAATATGCAAAATATTACATTATGCAAATATTTTCATTAGTATATATGTGTTTTACCTTTGTATTTTATAAAATAAATCATAATTTAACAAACATTAATTTTCAAAATTTTCCTTTTATATCATCATTCTTCAATTTCAGTATTCTGGCAACCTTTTTCTATGATCTAATTCTATATTAAAAAAAAACTTTTTTACAAAAAATTTTGTATATTTAACTCTAATATATATATAGATTTGAAATATGTAATAAAAACATATGCAATTTTTGAACCTATTTTGATAAAAAAAAAAGTATGCAGTGAGAGGTAAACTTGCAATTTATATTTGACAGAAAATAAATTTATATAATAATTAGAGATTAAAAAAAATTGAGCATAATTTATACAAGCAGCATCTAAAACTTGAAACTGCTTTTTAATTCTAAATATTACATGAAACTCTCAATATTTTCAATATACTGCAAAAATGCTACCATGTTTGTTTATGCTTTCTTACAGAGCCTTGATTAATATTAAATACTTTGGTAATGAAGATTTAATACCAGTAAATTTTAATAATACCCATATTTTGAAGAATAAACTAAGCTTTTAAAATTATATTAGATTGAGAAAGGAAACATTACAACCAAATTTTAAAAGTCACAGATTTTAAACATTTTCATGATTCAATTTTAAATTGGGCTCTACTCTTATATATGCCCTAATTTCTACAAATGTGGCGATATGTGTTCTGCGATGGTTTGGGGGACGATGCTGTTTGTATGGCAACCCTTTTGACTTTGAAACGTAACTCTTTTGTCGTAGTGGTTTAATTGCTCATTGGTTTGTGTCATGCGCGTTTTAAAATGGCTTATGTTGCAATGATAGACGTGGTGGCAAGATTTCAGTCACGTATTTTAGATTATGTGGAAAGTAAATTTAGTATTAAAAGGTACGAAGTTGGAGTTGTTAACGAGTCTTTTGTTCACGATTGTGTTTATAAGGATCGAAGGGAATTTTTGGAATTTCTGTGGGACTTTTAAAAGAGTTTGACATGCGGAGCTGCTATGAGAACTCTGACAAAGAAGGGCGTTTCTGATAGTTCTTGTGTGGATTTGCAGTCAAATGGTTGCTGGTAAAGTATGTGGCTGTTAGCGGAGTTTAAGATTTGAATCGTGGTTTTCATGTAGTAAGTTAACTTTGGAGGAAGTTTTTATCATTACTTTCGAAATTTTGAATGACAGAAAGACATGTGATGTAGCAAAATCTTCGTTCTCAGACGCTGTGTAACTGGCGAAATTTTATTAACAAATGTATTATGGTAAGTGCATTTTATTTTACTGTTTTTATTTTGTAGAATGTTAATTGTTTTTTTACTATGGATTTCTGTTGTTATTGTTGTTTTTTTAATTGTTTGTAATTTTAGTTTATTTTGTTGATTTGTCCGCAATGCCTAGATTGTGCAATTCCTAGATTTTTTTTTAATACCAAAAATATTTGGTGAGAAATTTGTCACCAAGCGAAGGCATATATAAGAGTAGTTTCTTAAATTGTATTACAGTAATAAGATACAATCTACCTGATTTCCAAACAATTATCTTGAAGAATTGCAACAACAGCTCCATTTCTAAAACAAAACAAAACTAATATTACTAAAGTTCATACAAAAAATTATACAATAAAAAGTTTTTTCATAACTACAAATTTTTAATTTCTCCAAATATAAGATATGAATAGAGTTGAATTTCACATCCTTCAGCAGCAGAATAATTTATATGTCTAATGCGAAATTACAACATAATTTTTTTTAAATATTTTAATTCGATGATTATTGTTAGCACATAAATATCAAGAATTAGGATATACAATTAATACACAGACATACAGTGTGTTCAATGATCTTATTCAGAAATGTAACTTGCTTTCTGTTTGGCAGTTGGATTGTAATAACCTTCTCATATGTGGCACAGAGAGTCACAAGATTTGGGAAGGTATTTATTTAAGACACAATAACACGCCGAATAAATACTAATTCAGAAGGCAAACAACAAAAATCAGCGTTATATTTACAAAATTTTCACAGGACTAGTTTCGATGGTTTTACCGAACCACCATCCTCAGCTGCAAAACCGCAAATGAACAAGATAGGAAATAATGATTAGATAAGATAAGAAAGCCTGGACCATAAGCAAGTGGCGCCATCTGTTGGTGAAACCAGAACTAAAAACATAATTTCTTTAAAGGCCAAGGCAAATTTGGATTGGAATTAGGATCGTTAACTAGAACAGAAAGATTTTTATGAATGTGAAATGCCTCTAGAAAATCCAGTTCTCCAATGGAAGATGTTTTTTGAATAATTTTGGCAGCAGAAAAACTGAAAGTGTGGTTTTCGGACCAACAATGTTGAGCAACAGAAGGACTTCTGTGTTTCCTTTTTCTAACATATGCCTCATGTTCCTTGACGCGAAATTTAAGGCTCTCTTAGTTTGGGCCAATGTAAATTAAACCACACTGGCAAGGAATCCTATAAATACCCCAGGAATTCATATTCGGAATGGAGTCCTTGAGTATGGAACTCGGAATTTTATTGATGGGAGAATAAAACAACCCGAAAGTTAAATTTCTGCAAAATATGTACAACTTTATAGCTAATTGATGGAAAGAAGGGAATGACAACAGAATTTTTATAATCTCCTAAAACAAGAGTGTGCCTTTTAGTGTGTTGAGATGAGAATTTGTGCTCAACATTGTTGGTCCGAAAAACACACTTTCAATTTTTCTGCTGCCAAAATTATTCAAAAAACATCTTCCATTGGAGAACTGGATTTTCTAGAGGCATTTCACATTCATAAAAATCTTTCTGTTCTAGTTAACGATCCTAATTCCAATCCAAATTTGCCTTCGGCCTTTAAAGAAATTATGTTTTAGTTCTGGTTTCGCCAACAGATGGCGCTACTTGCTTATTCTTGTCCAGGCTTTCTTATCTTATCTAATCATTATTTCCTATCTTGTTCATTTGCGGTTTTGCAGTTGAGGATGGTGGTTCGGTAAAACCATCGAAACTAGTCCTGTGAAAATTTTTGTAAATATAACGCTGATTTTTGTTGTTTGCCTTCTGAAGGTATTTATTGGCAAGCTAGCATCATCTGATAAAAAACACAGCCCTTGGTAACAGATAATATACAAACTTGCATGCAAATAATCTGCTAATTTTTCCTTTATGGTTTCTTAACCATTTGGGTACACATTTATTTGATTTTTTTCTCCCCCACTTGGAGGATATTTAATTTTCTGGGCAAGTAAGAACAGTAGATTTTATGCAAGAATTAATTTGTTCCGTATTATTCATTATGTATACTTTTACATAATACTGAAATAATTTTAGATAGTTAGTATTACAAAATACTTTTAAACAAATAAACTCTGGTTATAATAAATAACAAATTATCAATTGAATCAGGTGATACTTTTCTAAACAGGTTGGTAAACACAGTGGTACTTTGCATTCTTTGCACTGCCAAATAGTATCCTTCCTAATTTAGTGTTGACATATCAGAATAGCATGCGTGTCTTTGCCCAAACAAATGCATGACATACTGATGCATCCAATGTATTATATGTATGAAGAAGTATGAAGTATTGTTAGTAATATATCTGAGGCTAACTATGAATTCAAAGTCCAAGGTCTGTGTTCAGACTCCCATATAAGACTTGCTTCTTTGTATGTATCCATCACCTTTTATTTCAGATGCAATACTTTTCTAAGCCTCTTTATGGTGCAACCTGGCCAACATTCTCAATGATGAGACAGCTAAGATTCACGGATTCACACATTTCTGACAGGAAATGTCCAAACAAGCTAATCCTGAGCAAGTGTTCAGCCATAAGGGGAAAATATAATATGGAAAAAAATTTAACTACTTGCCTATCAAATTAACCTCTAAGCTTTCATACGCATTATGAAACACAGCTTACTTACCCACCAATTGCTAAAGTCCATGGCATCTGCAGATTGGTTAGTTGTCGTAATAACAGTGGAGGACACGGCTGTTGTACCAGTGGGCCCAACCATTTTCGGATGTGTCCTGATAATAGAAATATTTAATTAATTGAAAAAAATAATTCACAATTTAACAACAGCAAGAACTAAAAGAAGTTTAATTTTATATTAGTACCTGACTCTATCAATTTCATTAACTGAGAACTCACTCAATCATTTATGTCTGGTGTTAGAACTAAAATACTTTCTTTCCAAAGACTAAGATTGTCAAGACACTGACTTCTATTTCACATGTTTAAGAATGTGACAAAACCATGGTTCTAACATCTATGCCAAAAATAGAAAAAGCATAGATGTTAGGAAAAACAAAAATTTTCCTAACATCTATGCTTTTTCTTAAACTGCAATGGCAAAATATTTTGGCAGACCTTGTATTTTGGGGGAAAGTACACCTTGCACCCCCCCCCAAAAAAAAAGAAAAAAAAAACTTCAGTTCTATATTTTCCATTCTACTGGACTGACTGTCAAAATTTAACTTGTGTTTCCTATGTCTCGAAAGTGCGACTTGGGATACATATTAGATTTATATATAGCATTATTCTCACATAGGTATTTTGACATAAAATTATGGCATTATTATTTATTTATTTTATTTATTATGGCATTATTATTTATTTATTTATTTTGACATAAAATGGACTTTTTCTGAATCATACCAATATTTTTCCATATTTCGATTCTATGACTCAAATTATGCCTAATATTAAATTTGTAATTTCTGGTGAGAAATTTATAGAGAAATTTAAAATTTTACCTTGGCACATATTTTTCTGTTTACACCGAGAATAATTCACTCATTGGCAAACTTCTTAAATTATAGCAAACTGTTTTCCTCTCCTTTTTTCATTGTATTTGAGCAAAAAAAAAAAAAAAAAGGATCATCATTGATACTTTCAAAAAATTTTAACAAAGTGCGTAAACCACATTTGGTGTTATTATCATTTATAATAAATATGCAAAATTTTCAATTGTGCTAATATGTAAATTCACATATATCTTAGGAAATTTTGAATAAAAAACTCTAATTTTTTGCAGGTATGCTTAGAAATACATCTATTTTAAGATGATGGTAAAAGTTTTATAGGTTTTTCATTCAAATATTTTCAAAAAATTTATAAAAATTACTTAAAACTAGAAAATTTAAAAATAATTATAAAAAATGGGTGAATTTTATTTGGAATGAACCTAAATTTTGCAATGTGAAAGGAAGAATCGAATAAGTTTAATAAAGAAATAAGTTTAATAAGAATAATTAATAAATAGATACCAAATTCAATAAACATGGAGGAGCTAAAATTTTTTAAAAACTACTCGTGCGATTTTTACAAAACTTGGCACCCTGGCATAATTTGAGTTGCACAATCAAAATATGGAAAAAAAAATTACATGTTATTTCAGAAAAAGCTCGATTTTGTGTCAAAATCCCTATGTTAGAACAAGCCATATATAAACAATCAGTTCAGCAGAATACGAGATATAGAACTGTCCCTTTTATTTCTTTGTTTGTTTTGTGCAAGGTGTACTTTAAAAGACATTAGCTGCTATGCTTTAGCCTCTCATTCAGTGCTAGATGATTGCTACCTGTAATCATTAATCGGTGAATCTTCGGATCATGATAACTTGGCGATTGTTTGGCGAAAATTTGGCAACCAACCCTGCTACAGCAACCTGCTAGTCTTTTTTTTTTTTTTTTTTTTTTTTGGATGCCCTTTTGTTTTAACAAAGTAAAGGCCCCCTTTTTTTTTTTTTTGCTCAACATTTTTTCCAACGATCTGCTAGCCGAATTACGCTTATGCTAGAACTTTTATGAAACAAAAGTGCTTAATCATGACGAAGATTAGATGCAAAATTGGGAGAAAGTGCAGAATCGCCCACTGCTTCACACATTTTTAAGAATTGCACATACGCGGTATCCATGTACATGTCAACCTATTTTCACTCAAAAAAACATCCTAGAATTGCATATTCTAGGATGTTTTTTGATATGCGCACATGCTTGACTTTATCCATGTACACATCGACCTATTTTCACTTAAAAAGTCAAAGAAAATTGACAAAAATCCAATTCTTCTTACTCTTCTAAAAAGCGCCAAACAAATAAGTGGGCGATTCTGAACTTTAGTAACGAAATTGTTTCTATGTGCTTATTAGCTAAAATCACGATCGGAATTTTCCGGAAAATGTCACATGACATGTCTCATGATCTCTCATTTCTCTGAGACAAAATAATCTGTGATTCGAACTGTGTACTTCTCAGATTATTGCTAAAGTCCTACCTAGTAACCTTTATCACCTTACCAAAATGTCGCCAAACTACCTGTTACCATATTCCAAAGATTAGCCTATTAATCTTCTAATTAAGGTAAAGCATACAATGTTTTATTCTGTTTCTGTTTTAATTCTGTAGCCATGTGTGTATAGGACCAATACATTCCGATTCTCCAGTCTTTAGACAGCACGTCATCCAAGGCATGAATGACAAACCATAAATAAAACCTCTTTTTGTTTCGGATAATTTTTACCTCTTTTAAGTTTAGAGTTTAAAAAGAACCTAAACTACTCATTTCAAGAAACTAAAAAGTACATACAATTACAGGCTATATACTAGACTCATAAAAAAAAAAAAAAAAAAAAAAAAAAAAAAAAAAAAAAGAAGAAAGAAGGAAAAAAAAAAAACCAAATATTGGGTAAACTTCCAGAAATATTTGTCCCACAATTTAGTTTAAATATCACACTGAATAACAATCAAAAACAAAATCCAAAATTAAGAATCAGCGTAAATTTTTAAAAAATATTTTGCAGTACTAGTTTCGCTAGTTTTTGAACTACCTTCTTCAGCTGCTAAGTACAAATGAATCAAATAAAGGGTGAAGAAAGATAAGGATAGAGATAAGATGAGAAAAGTTGGACAGAAGTTAAGCTACCGGCACCATCCATTGATGAAACAAGAAAAACTAAAACAAAATTTCTTTAAAGGCTGAAGGTGAAGATGGATTGCAATTGGGGTCATTAATTAGAACAGAAAAGTTTTTTTGGATGTGAAATGCTTCTAAAAAATCTAATTCACCAATGTGTGTCCCTTGTTCAGACAGCAGCATACCACTTGTCTGAAATGGTGTTGTGAGTATTCCAACTGCACTGAATAAGACTGAATTTGGGTAATATTCTCAGATGAGAATGACTTCAGTCTGTCATCAGCTTGTAGATGATAACTGATCTGGCGTGAGAGTGGTACTTCTTATCATTTGGAAAATATCCAGGAAAGGGACAAATATCCAAGATACAGTACCATATTTTGGCATCATGATCAATGACCGCATGCCCCTATATGTACTTGCAATCGGACTATGATTGATCACCAATGCAATTTTACTGCCTCATGTTCAGTTAACCGCCTCATGTTCATCATTCTTGCATTCTTCCAATGATAAATTAGATATTTTAATGTAGCATATATACTATATACACTACATTATTGGGAATATTTTCAGCATTTATTCCTGAGTGATCTAAAAACTCTTCAAAGACTGGTGGATTGTCTACTGATGACCATTCTTCTACAGAATCATCTGAATCCGAGCTTGAATAAGAACTGCTTGAAATTCTAGGTCAGGAAAAAATTTCTAAGATGTCATTTAGTTTCATTGTCACTAGAATTATGAGGTACTCACTCCCTCCTTCCAGCATGCATACTTTTCTGCTTCAAAAAATTCTGATGACTATACAATGGCATCCACACTAAAAGGTAGTCGGTGATAATTCGTCACCACCAGGATTTGGCAACTGGGTCTCTTAAACCCCAGTCACACCTTAAAAGGGGGAGTATATAAGGTATTTTCTCCCTCCTTACAGCATGCCTTTGCAGTGTAGCAGTTAGCACACTTGGCACATATTCGAGAGGTTCAGGTTCGAGTAGCACAATTTGCCCCATCTCTTGCTTCAAAAGGTCCTAATGGCTCTACAGAATTCCCATTGGTAAGTTCGTTCTCACAGCAATAATTCAACAAACTATCTACACACAATTCTTCATCATCACATTCTTTTGTGGTCCATTTTTAGGATTTAATAATAAACTACGCAAAATGAGTTTAGTTATTTCCCAGGCTTTAATAACAATCTGCACACAACGAGTTTCATCATTTCCCATTTAAGACTTGTTAACTGAGAGTTAACTGTGCATATATATAAATAACATGAAAAAGTATTTAAATAAAATTATTCAAATAAAAAACCAAACAGTGTATTAAATAAAATATCATATAAATATATACCTGCATCAGATACTTCTTCAAGTCTATCTGCTGTAGTTTTAGTCTAAAATGAAGAATAAAATAGGCATCAACAATAATTTAGTATATATGGTTCTGGCTTAATTATGTTATAGGAAGGTTGCTATTTATATTTGTAGCCTTGGCAATAGTAAGTGTTGCTATACGGTCGCAAATAATTCCAATCAAAACTTTGATAATTTTAACCATAATTTCTTTAGAATTTTTTGCAATTTTAGTGTGATTTGTATTGTGTACAGTAAACTGAAATATTCATCCCAGGCAAAAAATGGAATTGACTTCTGAACATTTTCATGCAATTATTTTTCATAAGATTCGACATGGATTATTAAAACATGCTTCAATGAACTTAATTCCTTATACAGCAATAAAGCAAAAACCTACACTGGTACAGTACAAAGTCCGAAATCCGGACGTCCATTATTTGGAATGATCTAAAATCTGGACCTCAAAACCATCAACTTTTTTCTTATAGGCTTTATGCATGCACATTTGATTCTCCCCTCCGTGCATAATAAAACATCTGGAGAGTCCCGATTCTTAATTTAACTTCATAACTAAATAATCAAACCTTGTTATTGAAGAAACATCATTTTAGCATAAATTTGTATGATCAGTAATTTGGCTCCGTTGCTGCGGATCTGCTTGGCACACCATCCCAAACCGAAACATTCCACATAAATACATCATTGATCTGATGCCAACCTGGCGAATCATTATTTATTATACTTTCCTTTCATCACCGCATGTTTATCAAACATGACACCTTGAATAATGACTCATGTAGCGATGCCTAAACAATTTTTTTTATGTCAGTAATTGAATAATAACTTGGCGTTGATTACAGGTTTAAGTTAAATGTTCTAAAAAATGTTGATGAGGAAAAATTTACCAAAAATTTCTTTCCATATACTAAAAATAGGTTTTGTTGATGATACTCATATACCCAAAGATTACATTTAGGGCTATATGAATTAAGAATAACTGATTTGTTATTCACAGAAACCCAGAACCAGCAGCAGGGTTTGTATGGCCGCACAGAGTCGCAGAATTTAGGATTCACAGAGACTGCATCAGGCGATAAGATATCTAGCGCTGGCTCCTCAATAAGGCTTAAGTATATGTAAGAATTTATTTATTCAGAACTCTGATAAGCCTTAAGCATTTGCAAGACAGAAGTATAATAAATAACTAAACTAATAAAATTCAGGCTTAATTGTCTCAGTGCATGATAGAAGCAAGATAAAATTTAACTGAAAAACTTGTCATTAGTCGCCAAGCTCATGATGCATAGTCAAATAGTATAGTAAAGGATAGCTAAATTTGATAATGATAGCTGCTAATTTAAAGGTTTTCAGATATCGCAAAAACAAAGGAAATTTCAATATAATGATTTTGTAAAAATGTGGAGAAGCGGTAATACATGAAGACGATATAAAAAGGTATTCATTGTGATGACAATGTTTCAATCATCAATCAATTAACGAATGGCGAAAATCGTATATGGTTCTAAATCCAGAAATACCGCTACCAATAGTGAAGAAAGTGACAGAGAAGTTTAAGAAAACGAGAAATTGTGTTGACAAGTTAGTCGGAATTCTTGAAACAGAGTTACAGGACTTCAATAATATAACTAAACAATAGATTATGTCTGTCTACAGAATTAAAGAGTGAGTATTAGCCCAAAAAACTAAGTAACTTAAACAACTTACATTGAAAGAAATGTTTAATAAGGTAACCAAATAAATAGTAAGCTTTTTTTTTGGTAAATTTTGATACCCTTTAGATCATAAATACTTCGTTATTTCATATTTTCAATTTTATAATTTCTACATGGCATCTTACTATATTTAAACTGATGATCTAATATCGAGAAAAATCCCAAATCCGGAATTGAAGTCCTGACGAGTCTGGATTTCGGACTTTGTATTGTAAAAGGAATTCAATAATGGTCAACATTCATTCCAGGACAAATTCTCTGAAGGTCGTCCTAACTCGGTTGTTCTACCAGAAAATATCGAAGCTGTGCCTGAACTAAAAAAGCAAGATCATCAAGTGACTTTGCATGATACTGAGGCATCCTTGGATATTATTATGACAAGCATCAATAAGATATTACATGAACAGTTGGCCGTAAAAAAGATTTGTTCACATTTAATCTTGCATAATCTGACAAACGCTCAAAAGAAGACTTCCGTCAATTGGAACATGGAAATGCTGGATAAATACCTTCAAGATGCATCAAAGGCTGTGAATAACATCTATAATGGTGATGAATCATGGATCTATGCATGTGAACCAGAAACAGAACAGCAGTCAACTGTATGTGTCTTCCAAAATGAGCCAAATCCAACAAAGGTTGTTTGCTTAAGAAGCACATCGAAGCAAATGGTTGCCTGTTTCTTCGGCATTACCGGTCACGGGTCAACAGTGGCATTAGAACAATGCAGGATGGTCAATTATGAATGGTACATAACCATTTGTTTGCCATTCAAGTCATTCAAGAATTTGAAAAAAGCCGAAGAGGTGAATCAATCTTCATCATAACAATCCAAGCTCTCAGACAAAGGAATTTTTGGCGGGCCAATGCATTGAATTCATGGGTCATCCACTGTACAGCCCTAATTTGGCATCTAATGACTTTTTTTTATTCCTGCATATCAAAAATAAATTACATGGTCAGTGATTTGAGACACCCAAAGCAGCGGTTGATGTTTTCAAAAACATGTTTTGGAGTTACCTCAATCAGAGTGTAAAATGTGCTTCGAAAATTGGTTCAAATCCATGCAAAATTGTATTGAACTTCATGGAGAATATTTTGAAAAACTTTGATCATGAATATTTGTTTTTTCATTATTATGCCAAAAATATAAATAGCAACTCTTGTATATGGCTACAGATTATATGCTAAGAACCATTTCCTAATTTATCAAATCAAGATTTTGGCAAGTATTAAAAATGTCCAAGTGATCTAATTAACTATTATAAATAAATAAATTTATGATAATCATAAACCATTGAATAAGATAGATTAATAATCAGAAATCATTTAAGTGATCAGATTTTCCTAAAGCCAATCCTGGACAAAACAATTTTAATGACCAATGGGAATTAAAGCATAATATTATTTTAAACAATTAACATGTTTACTTGGCATCCTTAAGAATGTTTTTCTCAAAGACGAAATCCTTTACAAGGCTAAAAGTAACCTCTGTGGCAATAAGTTCCTAACTTGAAAGAAAGCAATCTTTATAATGATTTGAACTTTTTTATGTTAAGACACAGTTATATGAATAAAATTTCTATTTGTTTTGCTAATCAGAATAACATACTTCCAAGATATAATGGTGCTTTTTAGTAGCTAAAATCTGATTTTCATAATCATTTTCACTTTTACACATACTAAGGCATCCTCCGAAGGTTTCCGTCTTCCTGAAGAGTAGATTTTTAAATAAAAGTCAGTTACATAAACTTTACGCTATAAAACTGTTATGGAGCAGTGTCCTTTTAACCTAAATTCAGCTAAATTTTCGTATTTCACAGAGAAATGTGGTAACCTGAAAGACCAATTAGCCTACATTTAAGAGTGCCCCTTTTATTACCATGAAGTTATTGTTTCATTTATGGTAGCCTGAGTAGTTGAATGTTATGGAAACCCTATTATGACGTAATCAGTTGCATCATTGTGGTAAAATTCATCACGGCTTATGGTGTGTGTTGGTTAGGAAGTATATTGCTTGTTTCGTGGTTTAGACAGTAAAATGGTCGAATGTGGTAAGATTAATTTGAAGTTTCTGTACAATTTGGTAAGAAAAGAGAATTACTTGACTAGTGTATAAATGAAGAACCATTTCCATTTCCTAGAACATGGTAGCCTATTTGTAGGAAGTAGTAGTAGACCCTTAGTAGGTGTCCTATTTGTAGGAAGGAGATATGTATGGTCGAACATCATTATGGAGGATATTTTTTACTCTTATTTTGTGAATTTATGTGGCGATGCCAAAATACAGATTTTAGTTCAGATAATTTAAGGAAGTTTTCGGATGCTGTTATGGAATTTTGTTTGACTGAAGATGTATGAATTCATAAATAAAGTCAGTGGTGGTAAGTCCTTTGTGTAGTGCAAAGATGAATTTCCTTTTTTATGTTATTTCACTGTTTGATTTAAAACGTAGTTTACTGAAATTATATAGTTTTTTGTTAGCTTCTCCTTTGACTTTTGAAGTGAATATAGTTCAATGTGTACATGGACAAACTCAAGGGAATGTGCAAAGCTTAGTTTGTGCAATTCTCCGATGTTTTTTTTAGTGTAAATAGGGTGATGTGCACATGGATAAAGGGACTGCACAATGCCATTTTGTGCAATGCTGGGATTTTTTTTAAGTGAAAATAGATCAATGTGTATATGGATATCAAGTTTGTGCAATTCTTTGTCTGTTATTTTGGCTTTGTGTAGCGGATTTTTGGAGCTATGTAAGCTACGCAAGCCAAAATAACAAATTAAAGAATTGTACAAACTCGACATCTATACACCGGCAAAAATTACCAGAGTGTACCCGTAAATATAATTTTATCTAAATTTTAGCGAAAGACTTAGTTCGGTAAAATCCTAGTATACGGTGCAGCAGCTGGCCGATTTTGAAAAATTATCCGCCAACTAACACATGATCCAAAGAACGTCGATATATACTATACACTATATATATAGGTTATACTATGTAAACCATATATTCTTTGAATGCCTGTTTTACTACTCATCGTATATGTCACGTTTTTACTGCTCATCATAAAGTCGCCAAAAGTAGCCAAATCCCGTGTGCACCGGATACTAGGATTAAACCCTTAGTTCTATTTTGAACCCTTCAAGACTGACAGCTCATCATTTTGCAAGCCACACACCTCATAATCCATTAAAAAAGAATCTCAAGTACAATGTGCTGTTTGCTGCTTTCCCCCCTGAAAAAAAAAAAAAAAAAGATTGCAAAGAAATGAAGTACGGCTTTGTCTTATTTTGAAGGTTAATGAAATGAAGTACCTTGTTTTTAAATTTACCATACTACTTTTAATTTTTAGGAAGATAAATGTAAATATTGAATAGTTTCATTGGTACTTATACTTGACATTTGTATTATATAAAATAAATCGCAATTTTATTCAGATTTATTTTCAAAATTAAATCCTTCTTCTCATTCTAAAATTTCATTTATTGCAATAACCATTTATCAGGTGTGCCCAATTTTGGAGTAAAAATATAACAAAAACGGGGGGGGGGATCGGCTTTTCGCGTAATTAAAGTAGTTCTAAAAAAATGTAAGCAGAAAAATATGTTCTCTTCCAAGAAATAGGTCAGTTCTGTGGTACAGGTACGGTAAATTTCGATTCGAATTTTTCTAATCTATGAAAAAAAAACTTAGGATGAACATTAATGATATATTAAACATATTGCGCTGATGTTTACCTGAACTTCAGGTTCTTGCAGCCATTCTGCATAAATTAGTAATTCATAAAGAATGTTATTTTCAGCAGCATCTAAACTATCCTCCTTTATCATGTCGTAACAATACGTTCATAAAAATTATGCTACATGAACAATCAAACATTCACCTACTAGTAAACACGAAGCATTTCTTCCGGAAATAAATAGAAGTATTAGTTGAAGTGTATAGTAAAAGTAATAAATTAACAAACTCCTCAAAACTATCTCTTAAATCAGTTTAAAATATTTTTGAATATCAGTTAGCCTTCGAAATATTATTATTGAAAACAGAAATTTTAATGAAGGTTAAAAACACAACAATAAATATTATAATGACTCTTAACATCTGATACTGGTTTTAACATTTTTTTAATATATAGACGTAACTGTAACTGTAGAATAGTAAAATTTACATAAATTTTGTTGTGTATCGTTTTTTCTTAAAAGGGATTGTTGGTCCGTCGTCTGTATTGGTCCTCTTCGACATCTAATATTTCTTTATTTGTTTGAGAGTTCCAACATGGCACGTAAGTAAATAATTATTTCTTCTCATGCATTTGACTATGTGTTAAAAATTGCCTACCTTTCTGAACTCGAGTTTGTAATGGCAGTTGTAAATAAACAAAAGAAAAATCACGTAATTTTATGAAGTATTTGAAATCAATCATTATTAAAGTATCATTCTAACACTTTTATAAATGCCTGTAACTTTATTGCATTGTAAAATGTAATTTATATCATGAATGTGGTTTTTGGGTGATGTCATCCGAATTTTTCCTTTTTTTTTTTTTTTATATATATATTATATTTGTGAGGATGAAAAGGTTTTCCTTCCGCCCAAATTCTCAGCTTCAATAAGTAAAATATACTATACTCAAATAACTTTCCCAAATATTTGATGTATGGAAAATTAAAATTATTTTTTGAATGCAAAATATGAAACTTGAATAATATGCAAAATATGAAATATGAAAAGCGGAAAACCAAACTGAGTAATTTTATGACATTCAGCCATAATAAATAAAGTGCAAATCGATTTATTTGTTTTTATGTATGTTGCTATTAAGGTATTAAAATGCACTAAAAATTTTAATATGTAGTTTCTGTAGAATGGGATTTCTAGGTCAGAGAAAACAATAGAAGTTGACAAAGTGGAAACCCTAAGATAAAATCTGATAGAAAATGAAATATGCTTCAAAATCTGCTGGGTAACAGGAATCAGTATCTTAATGAATTTTTTAGAATTTATTGTAAGATTTTAAGAATGTATTAAATTAATTCATTTTGCAGGATGTCCATTTTTATTTAACTTTAAATTTATCTTATTACATAGTTATATATTTCTATGGCATTTATTTTGAAAATCCCTTTTTATTACCATACTTTCCATAGTGCTGATATGAGCTCAGGTTTCTAAATCCTTAAATCTCACTGTGTATTTACTGAAAGGTGAGCAAAGCCATTTAAATCTTCATTCATGCACCAATCAAACAATGTTTTCTTTCCCATTCATTCCAAAGCCTACAGAAACTTCAGATTAATCATACCACCAGCGGGCATTTTACGTTGTAAAGCACAAAATAAGCAACATACTTCCTAACCAACATCCACGCATAAATAAGCCCCGAGAAATATTTTTCCAACTGTCAAAATCACTGTAATCGCACATAATGTATTAAAACTCGCGTCATAATATGGTTTCCAGAACATTCAATATTTAAAATACTCAGGTTACCATAAATGAAACAAAAACTTGGCCATAATCCAAGGTCTACCCTAAAGTGTAGACTATCCAATCTGTTTTATTAATGTAAGATGTGAAAAATTGTGACTGAAAACTTGGGTATGTGTATGGAAATGAAGGGTAATTATAAAATAACTTTCCCTATGTAGAGGCATTTGAAACTAAATTAATGAATGATATGAAACCAAATTTCATATGCAGACTATATATGTAGTCATTGGTAGATAAACAGTCTGTATATGAAATTTGGTTGCATTAGTTTTAGCTGCAGATGCATGCAAACCTGGAAAGCTATTTTATAAGCACCCTGTGCATACGTATAGTATGAAAGGTTAATCTTTGGATTATGGTAACTTGGCGATTTTTTTTGGCGACCAACCCTGCTACAGCAACCTGCGAGTTTTTGTTTGGATGCCATTTTGTTTTCATGAAGTAAAGGCATTTTTTTTTTTTAAATAGAGTCACGTTTTTTTTCAACTCTCTCCCAGTCCGCTTCTGCTAAACTATTCACTTAAAAAATCCCAAATTGCACAAATGGCATGACTGCTCTTGACTTATCCATGTCACTGCAACCTAGCAGTAACCTTTATCGCTAAAAAAAAATGTCGCCGAACTACCTGTTACCATATTCCAAAGATTAGCTGTACGAAAAAATAAAAGCATATTTATAACAGGTATAAAATTGTGAATTAGAGTATGCTGATATATATATATATGTTACTGGCAACGTATGAAATGTAGGCATTTTATAGGCCTTGCATTTTTAGGCAAAGTATGAAAAAAGGTTGTAATAAGCTATTATTTAAAAGATGTTCATTCCTAAAAAATACAAATGTTATTTTGAAAAAATAATGAAAGATGGCAATTAAAGAACTTTTTATGAAATTTTTTAAATCGTTCTAAATACGTTAAAAAAAGTTAGTGAGATGATCTTTGGTACACTATAATAAATTTGTATTCTTAATCATAGATTTCACAATAATGCCCTTTTTAATACCTTTTCGTTTTTTCTGGCAGGGCTCACAAATGTGGATGTACAGTTCAGTATCATTCCATATAACATTTTTGTATTCGGTTTAAAGTTCCTTCAACATTTTGTCATGGCCTCCGTGCCCAATAGCCAAATGGAATTCATGAAGTACGTGAAATAACTGACGCTTTCTTTAACAGGACAAATGAGTTTACTTTTGTTTTCCCACAAACGTCACATCATAATGATCCAGTAACCATAATGATTCAGTAGTCCAGTGGTTCCTTCTTAGCAGTCATATCTGGCCTTTTTATATCATTTATTAACTTCTGGTAAGTAGTTTCGGTTATTTGAAAAGAATCGTAGATGTATTCCGTACTTTGCCGGTTTATCATTTGGTATTCTATAAAATGCCTAGGCATTGTGTGAAATGTTTAATCATTTCATATGGTGCTGGTCAGTTTTCGGCATTCTACAGAATGCTGGATTTCATACTTTGCTGTTAAAATATATGTACATGGTGTATCAGTACAACTTTGACAAAATTTCAGGAGAGATGGAGTACACCTAGGTGATGGGAAATCGCATAGGAATGCATGGTCGGAAACGCTTTCCTGACGCGGTAGTGCTGACACAAAAGTCGAGAAAGAAAGGGCACAAACGGAGTGAGAAAACATGTTTATTATTCAGAATACAACAAAAACAAAGAAAAAACAATATAAAGAGACAACGGTTATCATCAAAGAATGTGTTTAAAATTATGACCCGGACCGTGATGCAGCAATTGCACATCATGCATCTTCCATGCAGAGATGTGAGGCCTGCATCATGATCCAGGGTCATAAATTTGAACCCCTTCTTTAATGACAATTGTTTGTTTTCGTTCTTATTTGTAGGTTTCTGCTATACTAAACATAAAAAAAATATGTTTTGTCTCACTGTTTGCGGCCTTCCTTTTTTTTTTTTTGCTTTTTGTGTCATCACTACCATGTCAGGAAATTGTTTCCAACCATGCATTCCTATTTGATTTCACATCCTATAAGTTTGTCAAAGCTGTACTCATACATCCTGTATAAATCAAAATTCTAATTGTAATGTGCAATAGTCTCTTCTCCATTTTAATTTTCCATCAAATGCAATGTAAAGACAGGGCAAAATGTGATGGAGAATGAATACAGACTGTGCCCGCTGATATGTATGATGTAATGGGATTGTGCTTCTAAAGAATTATTTTGTTCAGAAATAAAATGTGTTAAATTGTCATGATGGTAATGTTTGATGTAAATATTTATTTTATGATGATGTCATCTGAATATTGTCATTATGTACAAACTCGGCCAGGAGTGAAATAACCTCTGTCTGCCACATTTCTAAATTATTACATATATGTGCACTGCAAAAAAAAAATAATGGGACAGTTCTGTATCTCTCGTTCTACTCGGCCGACTGATGAAATTAAACTTGCATTTTTCATGTCTCAAAAGCAACACAAAATCGAACTTTTTCTGAAATGACACCCAATTTTTTTCCATATTAAAAATCAGGTCTCAAAATGTAAGCTCCTCCATGTTCATTGAAATATATATTTATCAATATATCTTTTTTTTT